GGCCTGGGCACTGTCCCTCAGCTCTTCAGCTCAAGGCTAGCATTCTACCACTGGAGCCACAGAGCCACTTCTGGCTTTTTCTGCTTATGTAGTGCTGAGGAATTGAACCCAGGGCCTCATGCATGCAAGGCAAGCACTCTACCACTGAGCCACCTTCCCAGCCCTCCAGGAAAGTTAGAATGAACTTGTGACTTTAAATGAGCATCATTATTCCACAACACTGTGAAATTTGGGAAATTATGTAATCACTTAACCACAATTAAAAAAAAAAAAACCTCGGGGAAGGTAGGGAGGGAAGGGATGGTAGGGGGAAAACAATGGAGGGGGTAATAATACTCAATAGGAAGTGTACTCAGTACCTTGCTCATGTAACTGTAACCCTCTGTATAGTATCTTTACAATAAAAAACTTAAAAAAAAAACCCAAAGCACTGCCTGTGGTAGTATTGATGTTCCAGAAACTTCTTGAAGTGCTTACTGCAGTGGAAGGGTCTAACTATAACACTGACAGCGGGCACCAGGGCTCACGCCTGTAATCCTAGCTACTCAGGCTGTTGAGATCTGAGGATTGAGGTTCAAAGCCAGCCCAGACAGGAAAGTCCACAAGATTCTCATCTCCAATTAACCAGCAAAAAGCCAAAAGGGAAGCTATGATTCAATTGGTAGAGTGCTAGCCTTGAACAAATAGTTCAGGGACAGTGCCTAGGCCCTGAGTTCAAGCTCCGGGATAGGAACACACACACACACACGCACACACACACACACACACCTATAAGTGGAGTTGTGGCTGAAGCAGTAGAGCATTAGTGGGTCAGGGGAAGGTGAGGTGCTTCCTCACATAGCCTCCAGTGAGAAGAAGCTTCTTTTTTTCTTTCAATCATTTTTGGGGTTGTGGCTAATGGCTCCAACCTTCTGGAACCTTCTGGAAGGTTCTTTCTTATTACCCTCCAGCAGCTGTCTAAAGGTGGTGAGTATTGAGGCATTTGCTCTTCTTGTTCATAGATTTCATTCTGAAGACCGGAACCAAAGGGTGTGGTCAGGTTTAAGCTTTGCTGGCTGGTTGATTAGTTCATTTGGGGAATGGACTTTAAATTGGGCATTACACTCACCAGGCAGGTGCTCTACTACTTGAGCCATACTCCCTTTTGCCTGAAGTATTTTTCAGTTAGCGTCTCCTTCCAGGTCCAGATCTGGACAGTGGTCTTCCTATTGATGCTTTTTATTTACCTGAGACTACAGGCATACACCACTGTACCAGGCCCTAGGGTCAGTTGTTGGTTGACTCAGAGGCTCAGAAGGAAAGCCCATGGTTCACTCACAGAGTGTCAGACTTCACAAGTAAGACACACAAATGAGAGGAACCATAAAGAATTATAAGAAAGAAGAACTGTGTGTTGGGCATAAAGTTATCTAAAAAGAGATCAAATATCATGTGTTGAATTTGTACATTCAACAATTATTGATTGGGTATACCTATTTTCTTTCTCCCTCCCTCCCTCCCTCCTTCCCTTCCTCCCTCTCTTGTTTTCTGTTTTTGTCAGTCTTGGGTCTTGAACTCTCAGCCTGAGCGCTGTCTCTGAGTTCTTCAGCTCAAGGCAAGCGCTCTACCACTTGAGCCACAGTGCCACTTCTGGTTTTCTCATGGACTTTCCTGCCTGGGCTGGCTTTGAACTATGATCCTCACATTTCATCCTCCTGAGTAGCTAGGATTATGTTCCTTTTGAAATCCATTTGTTATACAGAACCAGATAAATGGATCCATTTTCTTATCTGTGACTGTTTTGTGAGCACATTATACCACTTAAACAGACTTGTCAAATGCAAGGGAAGGGGTCTGAATTAATGGCAGGTTCTGTGTGTGTGAGTGTGTGAGAGTGTGAGTGTGTGTGAGTGTGTGTGTGTGGCCTCTCACACTTAACTTTTTCTCTCAAGACTATTGCTTTGTCACTTGAGCCACATTGTCTCTTGTGGCTTTTTTGCTAGTTAATTGAAGAGTCTCATGGACTTTCCTGCCTGGGCTGGCTTCAAACTGTGATCCTCAGATTTCAGCCTCCTAAGTAGCTAGGGTTACAGGTGTGAGCCACCAGTGTCTGTCTTGAGTGTTATGTTCAGAGATGAAAATCAGTTCTTATTCTAGATATGAATTGCCTTTTACCTTAGAATGAAATTCCATCGAATTTTTGCTTCACTCATTAAAGCTTGCTGGGTTTTTAAAATTTTTCTAATTACGTTTGTGTTGCTAAAACATCTTGTGCATCTGAGCTAGTTTTTTGGGAAAGGCTGATAATTTTGTTTGGAAAGCAATTATTTCAATAGAAATGGAAATTATAACCATTTGTAAACATGAAACTAGAGCAGGGTACAGTGGCTCATACCTGTAATCCAAGCTACTCAGGAAGGCTAAGATCTGAAAGATCATAGTTCAAAGCCAGCACAGGACAGACAAGTCTCCATCTCGAAATAACCAGCAAAAAGATGGGTTGGTAGTATGACTCAAATGGTCAAACACCTGCCTTGAGCAAGCAGGCTGAGCTAGTGGGTGAGTCTCAGAGTCCCAGCCTTGGTGTGGATCAGGGCAAGATGTGAGTAAGCTTTTCCCTTCAGGCCTAGTTCCAAGTTCTTAGCCTAGCTGGGCACTAGTGGCTCACACTTGTAATTCTAGGAATTCAGAAGGCTGAGAATCACAGTTCAAAGACAGCCCAGGCAGGAAAGTCCTGAGATTCTCCTTGCCAATTAACTGCCAAAAAAGCTGTGGTTCAAGTGATAGAGCACTAGCATTGAGCAAAAAGGCTCAGAGCAAGACCTCGGCTCCAAGTTCAAGGCTCAGGACTGGTACATGAGTGCCCACACATGCACACACACACACAAACATATGCATGCACACAAAATACTCAGCCTGTTGGTTACTAGAACTAACCTTTATAAAGGAGCAGGAATGCCTTTCATCTCCATGAGAGAAAGCAAGCAGACCTTAGGTCAGGAAGCACCTTGCTTGGGTGGTCCTAGCGTCACAGCAAGTACCAGTGAGTTGCACCAGGCACACGGCACACCGCAGTGTGGCAGTGGTGGCAGCGATGCCTTTCTCTTTGCACATGGACTTGTGTTGCCATTCCAGCTCTTCGAGAAAGTGAAAGAAGCATGTCCGGACGTTCACAAGAAGATCGTGCCCATAGCTGCAGATCTCAACCACAGCGACTTGGGCATCAGCGAGGAGGACATGCAGGAGCTCCTGTCCTGCACCAACATCATCTTCCACTGCGCAGCCACCGTGCGCTTTGATGAAAACCTCAGGTGCAGCCCTCCCCTGGGTGCCACATGCATCACTGTGTGCCTGCCTGCATGTGACATGCAAGTGTGCTGCTTTAGTTAGCAAGGTTGTAAAAATCCTAACAACAGCACTAGTGGCTCACGCCTGTAATCCTAGCTACTCTGGAGGTTGAGATCTGAGGATCATGGTTCAAAGCCAGCCTGGGCAGAAGCATCCATGATACTCTGATTTCCAGTGATCCACCGAAAAGCCAGAAGTAGAACTGTGGCTTAAGCGGTAGAGTTGCCAACCTTGGGTAAAAAAAGCTAAAGGACATCATCCAGAGTTCAAGTGCTAGTACCACCAGCAAAACTAAAACAACAGTAGCAGGGGCTGGGAAGGTGGCTCAGTGGTAGAGCGCTTGCCTTGCACGCATGAGGCCCTGGGTTCGATTCCTTAGCACCACATAAGCAAAAAGAAAAAAAGCCAGAAGTGGCGCCGTGGCTCAAGTGGTAGAGTGCTAGCCTTGAGCTGAAGAGTTGAGGGACAGCGTCCAGGCCCAGAGTTCAGGCCCCACGACTGGACCCAATAAATAAATAAATAAATAAAATAAAACAACAGTAACGGGGCTGGGAAGGTGGCTCAGTGGTAGAGCGCTTGCCTTGCATGCCTAAGGCCCTGGGTTCGATTCCTCAGCACCACATAAGCAAAAAGAAAAAAGCCGGAAGTGGCGCTGTGGCTCAAGTGGTAGAGCGCTAGCCTTGAGCTGAAGAGCTGAGGGACAGCGCCCAGGCCCAGAGTTCAGGCCCCACGACCGGACCCAAAAAAAAAAACAACAGTAACAAAACACACACATATATGTATGTATACATCAGTATGTGCATGTGTGTGTGTATATATATATCTTCCATGAAAATAAAAATACAGACAGGAAAAAATTTTCCATAATGTCACCACCAAAGACTATCACTGGATGTCATAGACAGCACACACACATCCTGACTTTTGTTGTTGTTTATTTGCTAATTCTGTTTCTTGAACTCAGAGCCTGGTTGCTGTCCCCGAGCTTCGTTTGTACAAAGCTAGCACTCTACCATTTAGCCACAGCACCATTTCTAGCCTATTTATTTTTTCCTTTGGCGTAGTTTATTGGAGATGAGAGTCTCACAGACTTTCCTGCCCAGGCTGGCTTCAAACAGTAATCCTTATATCTCAGTCTCCTGAGTAGCTAGGATTACAAGTATGAGCCACCGGCACCTGGCTACATCCTGACTTTTCTTTTCGATTATAAAGCTATTTAGAAATACGTTCCACACTTAAAAGTAATTAGAAATATGTTCCACAAAAAAAGAAATATTACAAAAAGGAAAAGACATCCTGTTGAGAATTTTTGCATCCTACTCAATTGTTTTCTGGCTAACCTTCATTGTTAATACTTAATGCTAATTTGCAATGTCCACATTGGTGTCACAGGGTGTGCATGTGTAAAGCAATCAGCCATTCTGTATTGGTGGAGGTTTGCATTGTTCTGATTCTTCAGCCCTATAAACAGCTCAGCAATGAGCTTCTCTGTGCATGGTTTTTAATGCCTTTCTGTGCGCTTTCCATGGGGTCAATTTTCAGAAGCAAAATGGTTAGGTACATATTACATGTCCTAGGTTATAAGGTTACAAACAACATACAGGTTTTTGTTGGTGGTGGTGGTGCTGTCCCTGAATCTTTTTTTTTTTTTTTCTGAAGACTGTTTACCACTTGAGCCACAGCCACAGATCTATTTCTGGCTTTTTGACCGTTAACTGGAGATGTGTCTCCTGGACTTTCCTTCCCAGGCTAGCTTTGAACTGCTATCCTCAAATCTCAGCCTCCTGAGTGGCTAGGACTCTAGCACATGACTTGTTTTTAACTGTTTGAAAAAGCTGTTCTCCACAAAAGATTCAACTGTTATTGGCCCTGTGTTCATAAATGCCTCTCGATAACTCATACTAAAATTCTCTAATCTATTGTGGGTTTTTTTAAAATAATAATATTGGAACTTGAACTCAAAGTCTCATTGTCTCACTTGTTTTTTTTTGGTTTAAGCTTAAGACTCTACCACTTGAGCCACCAAAAAGCCACTTGAGACACAAAGAAAGCCACTTCTGGCTTTTTGCTGGTTAATTGGAGATAAAAAAAATCTCTCAGATTTGTCTCACAGGTTGGCCTTGAACCCTGATTTTCACATCTCAGCCTCCTGAGTAACTAGGATTACAGGTATGAGCCACCAGCACCTGGCTCAGTTCTCTAATTCTTTGCAGTGCTGCCACTATGTATGATATGCATAGTTTTATGTTTTCCTTTGGTGATTCGAAGATGGCAATGCTTATGTCCCTGTGCCAATGTTTGTCTCTTATGAAATACCTGTTTGAGTTTTTCTTCTTACTTTCAATTGAAATGTTTTTTTCATTAATTTTGAGACTTCTTGGAAGATCAGCATATGTCAAAGCTGTCTTTTGTAAAACATTTCAACAGTTTACCATTTAAGCAGCTATTCCGTTTGTCCTTTAAATTGCTTTACAGTTTTACTTTTAAACTTAGTTCTTTAATCCATCAAAAAAAAAACCTAATGTTAAAAAAGGAAAATTCTACTACTAGAAGAGCGATGTAACTATAAAGTAGCATCATGTATTTCTAACTGATGGTTAGTCTTTAAATCTAGTTAACAGTTTATCAATCATTTTAACCATTGCTTAACAACTTATTAAACAAATATTTAACAATAAACATTTACTATTATTTAACTATTTAAACTTATTAGTTTACCAATTACTTTTTACTCTATTTTAAATGACACTCATAAATTCCTCAGACTATTCTTTTGGTGTATGTCTGATGGGACTTGAACTCAGGGCCTTGCACCCTTGCTTGGCTATTTTGCTCAAGGCTAGTGCTCTACCACTTTGAGCCACAGCTCCACTTCCGGTTTTCTGGTGGTTCACTGGAGATAACAGAGTCTCATGGACTTTCCTGCCCAGACTGGCTTTGAACTGTGATCCTCACATCTCAGCCTCCTGAGCAGCTAGGATTGCAGGCATAAGCTACCACACCCAGCTCTTCCTTGTCTTTTTTATGTGGACAATATCCTGTGGGTGGAGGGGAGGCTGAGGCAGGCTGTGTCTCCCTCTGCTTCTTCCTCTCCAGACAAGCCGTGCAGCTGAACGTCACCGCCACACAGCAGCTGCTGCAGATGGCCAGTCAGATGCCGAAGCTGGAGGCCTTCATCCACTTCTCCACTGCCTTCTCCAACTGCAACCTGGAGCATATTGACGAAGTCATCTACCCAAGTCCTGTGGAGCCGAAGAAAATCATCGCATCCATGGAGTAAGCAGGCCAGAGGGAGGGCCAGAGGGGGCTGCTGTTTCTTTGATTCTTTGGATTTCTGATTAATAAAGTAAGTGAGTGGGATGCTTGGAAGCCACTTCAAAGCCACCACAGGCAGACAAATCCTTGAGCCTACTGTCTCCAGCTAACCAACAGAAAGTTGGAAGCAGAGATGTGGCTCAACCGATAGAAGGCCAGCCTTGATCAGAAAAAGCAAAGGAACAACGCCCAGGGCCTGAGTTCAAGCCCTAGGACCAACACAAAATATATACACACATACATACATGCATGCATACATACATACATACATATATGTTGTAAAAAACAAAAGTAAGAAGTTAGCCAGGTGTTGGTGGCTCACACTTATAATCCTAGCTACTCAGGAGGCTGAGATCTGAGGATCACTGTTCAAAGCCAGCCCAGGCAGGAATGTCTGTGAGACTCTTATTTCCAATTTACTACCAGAAAACTGGAAATGGCGCTGTGGCTCAAATGGTAGAGCGCTAGCGTTTAGCAAAAAAGCTTGGGGACAGTGCTCAAGTTCTGAGTTCAAGCTCCGTGAACAACAACCACGAAAAGGAACAATGCGCTGTGCATCAGTGGCTCACATCTATACTCCTAGCTACTCAGGAGGCAGAGATATGATGGATTAAAATTTGAGGCAGAAAGTTTGCCAGACTCAATCTCCAAAATAACCAGCAAAAGCAGGGCTGGAAGAATGGCTCAAGTAGTAGGGTGCCTGTCAACCAAGTATGAGGTAGAGCTCAAATCCCATTCTTGCTAACGATGTGATAAATAAGTCAAGGAAAAATAAAACATTAAAGATGATCTTTACATTCCACTTCAATAACAAATGAGTACTTAAAATTCAGAATCATGATTCTCAATAAATCTTAGTCCCAAATACATCTTGAATGCTCAAATAACGTGGTCATAGCTGCCAAGCCCTGCCAATTAAGATTGTCCATGATCCAACCCCAGAGCTGATGGTTCATGCCTATAGCCCCAGCTACCCAGGATCTGAGGATCACAATTTGAAACCAGCGTGGACAGGAAAGTCCTTGAGACACTTATTCCCAATTAACCACCAAAAAGCTGGAAATGGAGCTGTGGCTCAAGTGGTAGAGCATTAGTCTTGAGCAAAGAAAATGGAAAAAAAAAACCCAAACTCAGGGACAGCACCCAGTCCCTGAGTTCAAGCCCCACGACCGACAAAAAGAAAAGAAAAGTAGACTGGCTATCTGTTGCATTCATCTGCTTGCCTATGAGGAAGGACAGCTTAAGATCTGCCTGAGGTTAGAACAGGATTGCTCCTTCCTCCCGGTGCTGTCACAGGCCCAGGGGTGGCGGGACTGGTTCTCAGCTCTCCAGGGCTCCTCTCCTCCTGTCCCTGAGGCCTGCCACTCTCAGAGTTCTGTCCCCAACAGGTGGTTAGATGACAAGATTATTGACGATATCACTCCCAAACTCATCGGGGATCGGCCCAACACATACACCTACACCAAGGCCTTGGGGGAGACCGTGATCCAGCAGGAAGGCCAAAACTTGAACGCGGCCATCATCAGGCCCTCCATCGTGGGTGCCACCTGGCAGGAGCCCTTCCCGGTAAGTGTGCCACCTCCTCCCGCTGGCCTCCCACCACCTGGGCCTTCCCATGCAGTTCCTCCGCCCGCCCTCCCCCTCCCCACCCTAGGCCAACCCCTGCTCCTTGGGATTTAGAGCTGAGCACAGCTAAGTAAATGGGAAAGCCATTGATCAGGGCTCCATTGAGAGCTGCTGTGACTGCCCCACACTGGAGGCTCACGCCTGTAATCCTAGCTACTCAGGAGGCTGAGATAGGAGGATCATGGTTCAAAGACAGTCAGGGCAGGCAAATCGGGGAGAATGTTATCACCAGTTAACCACCAGAAAGCTGAAAGTGGAGCTGTGGCCCGGATGGTAGACTGGAAGCCTTGGAAAGAAAAGGCTAAGGGACAGCATCCAGGTCCCAAGATCAAGCCTCAGTACCACACAAATAAAGGCATAAATAAACTAGGGTGGAGTTGGAGCCCTTAAATATCCTCTAACTCTCATCTCAAAATCCCCATAGTTTCACGACTTATGCTTCTCATTACCCTTGCACTATACCAGAATGTTCTTCGTGGCTAAACTGAAAAGTACCATCACTGCCACGGTGAACAGGAAAACTCCACTTTCTTCACTAGGGACCAGTTTGGTTTTAACTCCATATACCATTATATCCCTAATATTTCTGTGTGTCAGTACTAGGATTTGAACTCAGGGATCTGTGCTGTCCCTTAGCTTTAGCACTCAAGTGCTATATCACTTCAGCTACAACTCCACTTCCGGTTTTTGGCTGGTTCATTGGAAAGAAGAGTCTCACAGACATTTCTGGCCAGGCTGGCTTCTGATAGACCACAGCCTCCTGAGTAGCTAGGATTTCAGCATGCTCCACCAACACCTCGTTGAAGTGTTTTGTTCAGCAGATAAAATCAGGCCCCTGAGGGAGAAAATGACTTTTGATGAATTTGTTCGAAGATCATACTAAGACTGAATAATAATAATAATAATCCAGGAAGCCACTCATACCTCTAATTATGAAAATCACTGTGAGCAAGATTTTTATTCTTACAGTTGAATAAAATGTTAAGATTTGCCAGTACTTTGTCTCTGGTGTTATTTTGGTGTTTAGACTTAGTGAATAGTAGGTCTCGGCACTCCAGTCAAAACCTTAGTAAGACTGCACTGCAGCCAGGCACCAGCAGCTCATACCCGCAATCCCAGTGATTCAGGAGGCTGAGATCTGAGGGTCATGGTTCAAAGCCAGCCTGGGCAGGAAAGTCCATAAGATTCTTACCTGCAATTATCCACTAGAAAACTGGAAGTGGAATTGTGGCTCTAAGTTGTAGAGCACTATCCTTGAGTGAAAGAGCTCAAGGACAGTGGCCAGACCCTGAGTTGAAGCCCAGGGCAAACACAAATATATATACATATATATATATATTATATAGATATAACTGCAGATATTATAGTTAATATTTTTCCTAAATGCGTTAACTGATAGAAATTTCCTTTTTTTTTTTGTAGGGTTGGGTTGATAACCTAAATGGACCCAGTGGATTGATTATTGCCGTATGTATAATGGAGAAGAAATAACTATTTGTAATGTAGTAGAGAAGGAATGACAACATTCTCCTTATCTTAAATTTCATGAATCAAAAAACCCCACCCAAAAGTGTCACTGTAGTAACAATTAGAACAACATATCTCCACTTTACTACACACACACACAGGATGCCACTGCTTTTATTCTGTGAGAGCTTCATTATCTGCTCAAACACTAAAAAAGGAGGCAATTGCAATGTTTTAGTCTTTCAAAGGGTTTGAACATTGAGAATTTTCCTTTCCTTACCACAAGATGAGGGTATTTCTTCTTTTTGCTGCCTTTTGTTTGGCTTTTTAATTTTGTTCTTGTTTGCTATTTTTTGTGTTTGTGGGCTTGAACCCAGGGCGTGTGCTGTCCCTTAGTGTTTGTACTCAAAGCTGGTGCCACACCCTCACTTCCAGTTTTTTGCTGGTTAATTGGACATGAGTCTTACGACTTTCCTGCCTAGGCTGGCTTCACACTGCAATCCTCACATCTCAACCTCCTGAATAGTTGGGATTATAAGCATGAGCCATAGCACCTAGCAGGAAACCTTAATTCTTAAAATATGAAGCAGGGCACTGGTGGTTCATGCCTATAATCCTATTCAGGAGGCTGAGACCTGAGGCTCATGGTTCAAAGCCAGCCAGGGCAGGAAAGTCCATGAGACTTATCTCCAATTAACCACCAGAAAACTGGAAGTGGTGCTATGGCTCAAAGTAGTAGAATGCTGGCCTTGAGCAAAAGAGTTCAGGGACCATGCCCAGGCCCTGAGTTCAAGACTTAAAAACCTTATGAATTAATTTTGCAGATGTAAAAACTTAGTCCTGGTGTTGGTTCCTTAATTAAGTACATTGATTTCACCCAAATTTGACATTTTATTTCCTAAAGAAATCTAGTAAGCACTAGTGTTCATGGAAATGTTGGCTCTTGCTATGAACTGGACAGAGAGGTCAGACATCATACAAGAATTTAGGAAGCCATAAATCAAAGTTTGCTGCTTTCCTGATAGTACTGATGCCATCTGTAGAATTGAAATTTAGCTGTGGCTGGATCTAATATTTAATATTATGGCTTCACATTAAATAGCTAAATTTAATAGTATGGTTTCCTATTAAGCATTACCGTTTGTATTTAATGTTATGGTTTGATGTTATCTGGGCTTCGTCCTGTAAAGGCTGGGAAAGGGTTCCTGCGGTCCATTCGCGCAAACCCCATGGCTGTGGCGGATGTGATTCCAGTGGACACGGTGGTGAATCTTACCCTTGCAGTGGGCTGGTACACTGCAGTCCACAGGTGAGGAGGCCATGAGGCCGAGGGGGGTGATGGCCACATTTACAAAACATACGTGTTTTACAGCCAAAGACAGCAAAAGTGACCATGTGTTTGTTTCAACAGTTTGTCTACTTGCCAATATGCTATTACCTTTATTGAGTTGTGTAACTATTGCTTGAGATTTGGTCTGATCATTAAGTAACATGTCAGAGGAATCATTTAAACAATATTCGTTTGTTTTGGTGCTGGTCCTGGGGCCTGAATTCAGTGCCCAGGTACTGTCCCTGAGCTTTTTTGCTCAAGGCTAGTGCTTAGCTACTTGAGCCACAGCTCAACTTCTTGCTTTTCTGGTGGTTCACTGGAAATAAGAGTCTCACGAACTTTTCTGTTCAGACTAACCTTCAACCTCAATCCTTAGATCTCAGTCTCCTGGGATTATACTGGCACCTGATTATGTAATATTCTTGATAACCAAAAAGCTTTTCTTTCCAATCAGTTACCCACACCACAGGTTCATTTTATAAGTCAAAGGAGAGAAAAGTCAAATATTTTGTATTTCTTGTTCCTTGTAAATGCTGAGTTTAAACTACCACAGATAGGAAAATAGAAAGCAAATATAAGTGGCTTGGGAAACAGGAAGTCAAGTGGTAGAACACGAGCCTTGAGAAAAAAAAAGTGGGACCCTGAGTTCAAATCCTAACACCAACACAAAAAATAGTGACTTCTATATTTGTTTGTAACTGATACACAGAATTAAAATGTTCTTATGTGAACTAAGATACTCTACAATGTCTCACCTTGGCTTACATGAACAAATACACACACACACACACTTTTTTTTGTTTGTCTTTTTCTGTTTTGCACTTTAACTCAAAAAGGATATGAAAATAGAAATGTTTCACACGCTGTTGTATTTCCCGTGTGTGTGTGTGTGTGTGTGTGTGTGTGTTGTGTATGTGTGGTTGCTGGTACTGGGGCTTGAACTCAGGGCCTAGATGTTGTCCCTGAGCTTTTGTACTCAAGGTTAGTACTCTACCACTTGAGCCACAGCACCACTTCTGGCTTTTTTGGTGGTTAATTGGAGATAGTAATCTCATGAACTTTCTTCCCTAGAATGGCTTTGAACCATGATCCTCAGATCTCAGCCCCCTGAGTAGCTAGGTGTGAGCCACTGTGTCCAGCTGAGTCATACTATCTTAATGCTATTTTCTCTTCTCTTTCATTGCTTTTCCATTTTGCTTTAATTTTTCTAACTTTTGTGTCATCCTCCAGACCTAAAACAACATTAATCTACCACTGTACATCTGGGAATTTCAATCCATGTAAATGGACCAAGATGGGTGAGTGCCATTGGCAATGGAACTGCAGGGCTATTAGTGCTTGACTTGGGAAGAAATTAGAGTGATTCATAGAGAATAGCAAACACAAACTATAATAGGTAGAGAGAAAATAGGCTGGATGCCTACTTAGGAGGCTGACATATGGTGATCATAGTTTGAAGGTGGCTTACAAAGGAAAGTCTGTGGCTCTTATCCCCAATTAACCAGCAAAACGCCATAAGGAGAGTTATAGCTGAAGTGGTAGAGCACCAACCTTGAGTCGAAAAGCTAAGGGACAGCACCCAGGCCCCGAGTTCAAACCACACAAAAAAAGAGCTGGTGCTGGTGGCTCACACATGTAATCCTAGCTCCTCAGGAGGCCAAGATCTGAGGATAGTGGTTCGAAGCCAGCAGACACGAAAATCTGAGACTCTTATCTCCATAAACCTTAAAAAAAAAAAGCCATTCATAGAGCAGTGGCTCAAGTGGTAGAACACTATCCTTAAACTTTAGGATGGCACCCAGGTCCTGAGTTCAACCCACAGGACCAGCAAAAAAAAAAAAAAGAAAAGAAAAAGAGTGGAAAAATGTAATTGTAAATTGTTATAATTCACTAGAATGTACTGTGGTATATGAAAGAAACAAGTCAGTAGGATTATGGTATAATATAAAAGAAGAAGGGTCCACTGGCCTCAGAGATTTTAAAAAATAAGAAAACTGGAAGTGGCGCTGTAGCTCAAGTGGTAGAGCGCTCACCTTGAGCTGAAAAGCTGAGGGACAGCATCCAAGCCCAGAGTTCAAGCCCCACGACCGACCTCCCCCCCCCAAAAAAGAAAGAAAACTAAGTAAAAGTTATGAATTTCCAACTATGTTAATGATAAATTCTTCCCTTCTGTGGAGTGACCACTCTTCCCTCATGGTGTATTGCAAAGAAGGTGAAATCACCAATGGCCAAGGAAATTGAGGAAATCAGGTGATAGTACTCCTTTGTTCTTGAGTCATGAAGCTCACTTACCTTGTATGTTTAAAGCAAGTGTAAGCTTGAAAGTGTAACCAGTGCCTGGTGGAAATTGCATATTTTTTTCTTGGGCATCAGTCCTGGGGCTTGAACTCTGGGCCTGGGTGCTGTCCCTGAGCTCAAGGCTAGTACTCTACCACTTAAGCCACAGCTCTACTTCAGTCTTTTTGGTGATTACTTGGAGATAAGAGTCTCACAGACATTCCTACCCAGGCTGGCTTTAACCGGCAATCTTCAGATCCCAGCCTCCTGAGTAGCTAGGGTGACAGGTGCAAGCCACCAGTGCCTGGCTGCCTTCCTGACTACACAGCAAGTCCTCCATTGTTGATCCTTCGACACATCGTAATGCCTTCCAATAGAATGGCTGCTAAGCTTTAAGACTTCACACTTTTTCTACTCCCCACGCCTACCCCTAGGATTCCAAGTCTTGGCAACCTTTGAAAAAGTCCCATTTGAGAAAGCTTTCAGAAGACCAAATGCTGACTTCACAACCAACAACTTCTCAATACAGTACTGGAACGCAGTGAGCCACTGGGCCCCAGCCATCATCTACGACTTCTACCTGCGACTCACCGGAAGGAAACCCAAGTAAGAAGCCAGGGCTGTGGGGCTGGGGCAGCATGGTATAAGAGACTTTCAGAGTCATTAGTCCTCCTTGCAGCCAATGATCGAAGAAGACAAAAGAGTCACACACACACACACACACCACTGGGAACACAAACTCTAGTCATAACAAGTAAAAAACCGCTTTTTCCCTTAAAGCCCTCTATAATAGAATGGAAGTGTGTGTGTGTGTATGCATGCACCAATACTGGGACTTGAACTCAGGGCCTAGGGGCTGTCCCTGAGCTTTACTGCTCAAGACTAGTGCTCTACCACTTTGAGCTGCAGTTCTACTCCCAGTTTTAATGGTTAATTTGAGATAAGAGTCTACTAGAGTTGTGTACTTGTGCTGGGTTTGAACCATGATCTTCAGATGTCAGCTTCCTGAGTAGTTGTGGTTATACGTGTGAGCCACCTGGCTTCAAGCAAATTTCTTAATATTGACTTTCTTTAGCCAGGCACAGGTGAGTCATGCCTGTAATCCTAGCTACTCAGGAGGCTGAGGTCCAAGGATCATGAATGGAGGAAAGTCTGTGAGACTTTTTTTTTTGTCGGTCGTGGGACTTGAACTCTGGGCCTGGGCGCTGTCCCTCAGCTCTTCAGCTCAAGGCAAGTGCTCTACCACTTGAGCTACAGCGCCACTTCCGGTTTTATGGTGGTTTATTGGAGATAGGAGTCTCACGGTCTCTCCTGCCTGGGCTGGCTTTGAACCGCGATCCTCAGATCTCAGCCTCCTGAGTAGCTAGGATTACAGGCGTGAGCCACCAGTGCCTGGCATCTGTGAGACTCTTATCTCCACTAAATTAACAAAAAAGCAGCAAGTGGAGCTGTGGCTAGCTAGTCTTGAACAAAACAAGCTCATGGACAGGGGCTGGGAAGGTGGCTCAGTGGTAGAATGCTTGCCTTGCATGCATGAGGCCCTGGGTTCAATTCCTCAGCACTACATAAACAGAAAAAGCCAGAGGTGGCGCTGTGGCTCAAGCGGTAGAGCACTAGCCTTGAGCTGAAGAGCTTAGGGACTGCGCCCAGGCCCAGAGGGCAGGCCTCAAGAACAAAACAAAAACAAAAAACTTAGGGACAGAGCCCAGACCCTGAGCTCAAGCCTTGGGATGGCATGAAAGAAAGAAAAGAAGGAAAAGAAAAAGAGGGAGTGAAAAAGAAAAAGTGAAAGGAAGGAAGGAGAAAGAACAGGGAAGGAGGGGAGAGGAAAAAGGAGGACAAAAAGAAATCTGCTTTTAGAAAGTACTTGTTTAGATGAAGCGCAAATGAGGCTGTCACTGGGATTTTCTGAATAGGGTGCAACGTTAAACTTTACAGTAATCCTAAGTCTCCTGCACAAGGCTAAGAATATTGTATGGTGATCTTAAAGATGAAAAGCGAAGTGGCGCTGTAGCTCAAGTGGTAGAGCGCTCGCCTTGAGTTGAAGAGCTGAGGGACAACGCCCAGGCCCAGAGTTCAAGCCCCACGACCGACAAAAAAACAAAACAAAAAAGATGAAAAGCAAGGGAACAAGTGTGAATGATGTCAGGAAGGGACGAGGATGAGCCAAGAGTGTCCACAGAGTGTCCGTACCAGCATTATGAATTCCACTTACTGCCATCTAAGAGAATGAAGTGGGCAGTTCTGTCGCCCTCTAGTGGTGCAAGCCTGGAACAAATCCCTTTCTCACAAATCTCATTCTCACTTGACTGGAGTTAGTGGTTAGGGGAGTCACCACTGTAATTACCAGTTACATGTAGCTGGCGCTGGTGGCTGAGATCTGAGGATCACTGTTAGGAACCAGCCTGAACAGACACAAATCCTAGAAACTTATCTCCAATTAACAGCAAAATGAGGAAATGGAGGTATGGCTCAAGTGGTAGAGTGCCAGCCTTAGCAAAACTAGAAGCTGGGTACTGGTGGCTCATGCCTGTAATCTTAGCACTCAGGAAGCTGTGATACAAGAATGGAGACTCAAAGCCATCCCAAGCAATAAAGGCTGAGACTTTTTATCTCCAATTAACCACCAGGCCACTTCAAGGCCTGAACTCCTCCCTCCATGGGTGAGCTGGGTCCTCTGCCTTTGACATCTAGTTTTTTTCTGTGAAGAACACAGGCACCAGTGGTTCACACCTGTAACCCTAGCTAGTCAGGAGGCTAAGATCTGAGGCTCATGGTTCTAGGCCAGCCCAGGCAGCAAGCCCATGAGACTGCTATTTTCAATAATAGTACCCCCAAAAAGCAGGTAGTGGAGCTATGGCTCAGTTGATAGAGCATTAGCCTTGAGCACAAAACCCAGGGAGAGTGCCCAGGCTCTAAGTTCAAGCCCCAGGACTGGCACAAAAAAAAAAGCCAAAAAGACTGTGAGGCCTTGAGTTCAAGCCCCAGTACTCTTTCTCTTTCACACATAAGAATCAAAACATAAATCATTTTATTAGCCCCTTTAGAAAGGAGGAAGTCTGTCTCAGAATATTTTTCATCCATATTAAGCTAATTCATGTTTTCAGGGAGCTCATTTAAGACTTCTGCAAGAGAAAATGATAATATGACCATAGGAAAACAATCTGAATGTGGTTTATTGAAAATAGATGGGCATGCCCTGGCATCCTAGCTACTCAGGAGGCTGAGATCCAGGGATCTTGATTCTAAGCCAGTTGGGCAAAAAAGGCTGACACATCTCCCTAAACCAACCAGAAGTGGAGCTGTGGCTCAAGTGGTAGAGTGCTAGTCTTGAGCAAAGAAGCTCGGGGACTGCCCAGGATCTGAGTTCAAGCCCCAGGACTTAATCGACCCTCCCCCCGACCAAAAGAAAAAATGGGCAATGAAGAATAAAGCCAACATGATGGGCAGGAATGCTAAAGCCTTCCAAATAGGAAGATGTGGATCAAAAAGAATTTAAGTTCGATGTGTAAAAAGAAAAAAAAAGTCGAGAGTCCAAAGCAGTCCATGTGTTGTTTATAAGAAATTAATTTGTACTAAAAAAGGAGCTGTTCTTTTTTCTGATAGAAATTTTTAACAGTGACTTTTGTGGAAGGAAAAACTCAAGTCCTCAATCTTTTTCCTTCAGCTGGTTTGATACTGACAAATGGCCATACCTGAATCAGGGCCTTTGTCTTGATGGTGGTGAAGAATGAGTCCACAGACAGAGAAATTAAACCACAGTGATTTATTGGAGAAAAAGCTAAGCAGAGCTCCTGATAGATAGGAGGGTTGCAAAGGAGGGCACTGCTGGGGTGCACTGTACAAGATTAAGAAGGTGTCTCTAGGAGAAAGCTATGTAAATCTCAAGATCATTGGACAGCCTGGGGGCTGTAGCAGTCCTGAGAGCCAATCAGAGGCTTCATACAGCCCACATGTTTGTCATGCATACTTTAGCCCTTCTGATTTGATGCCTGGTTCAATGGTACACACTTCTGAGGTCCAATCAGCTCAGTGGTCTGGACTGGACTGGACTGGACTGCTTAAGGCCATGGTGAGGATGCAGAACCTCTCTGAGAGGGGCCTCTGCCCTGACTGCCCAGCCAGGCTCTTTTCTACTCTGTGTCCCTGTGTGTCAGCGACAAGGCCTTTATATAAATGTATGGGCATTGATCAGTGTAGTTATACATTGAGGCATTCCACCCAGTGTCGTTTTCTGCCATCAAGAATGAGGTGACAACTATCAATACATTACTGTGCAGTGTGTCACCAGGTCTGTGGTGTGCTTCATGAGATTTCTGGATTAAGGAGACATTAATCTTTTTTTTTTTTTTTTTGGTGTGTGTGCTGGTCCTGGGGTTGGAACTCAGGACCTGGGTGCTATCCTTGAACTTTTCTGCTCAAGGCTAGTGCTCTACCACATGAGTCACAGCACCACTTCTGACTTTCTGATTAATTGGAGATAAGTCTTAGGGACTTTCCTGTCCAGACTAACTTCAAACCACAATTCTCAGATCTCAGCCTCCTGAGTAACTAGGATGATAGGAGTGAGCCACTGGCACCTAGTTGGGCCATGAATCTTCTAGCTCAATTTCTCCAAAGACTCAATTTTCACTATCCTAAATGCATGAAGGTACAAAACAGTGTTTTTCTCATTCACATTAATGCTTGACAAAAATCAATCCTTTTAATTGTCATACTCATGAAAAGGAATTGTACTTTTGTTTTTTTTTTTTATTCTCCAGATTGCTGGACTTTCATTTGCTGAACATTTCTCTGCAAATTGCCTATTTTTCCATTTGTTTTCCTTTATCTGTGAGAATTTGTATGCTTCTCTGTGGGTACATCTTGCAGGTATTTTCATATATGTAGCCATAGGTACACATACTTATTATAAAAACCTACATAATTCAAGCAGAGCTACATATATGGTTGGGCCCAGGAATGTGGATTTTGCAGGCAGACTTCTGAGGTTTGAATCCTGGTTTCAGTCACTTAGCCATGAAACCAGTTGCTATCTCTGAATTCCAACTTCTACTACAATACAAAGGGAATAGAAAGCAAGAGGCTGAGATCTGAGAGTAGAGGTTCCAAGCCAGCCCTGGCAGGAAAGTCTGAGAGACTCTTCTTTCCAATTACCACCAAAAAGCCAGCAGTGGAGGCATGTCTCAAATAGTATAGTGCTAGTCTTGAGTGGGGATGCAGAGGGAAAGTGGGAGGCCTTTCAGTTCAAATCTCAAAATAATAGGAGGGAAGGGAGAGATAGAGAGACAGAGATACCCAGGCAGACAGATAATAGATAGGCTATTCTTGAGAGGTAATAGAAAAGAAGAGGCATCTGGTGGTATTGAAGTGTCTGATGGAAGTTCTAATGAGCTGGGGAAAGAGAAGAGGGATAAATTTGCACCCCTGCACTCTGACATTTCCTCCTCTGCTCTCTCCATTAGGATGACAAAGCTCATGAATCGCCTGTTGAGAACCATCTCCATGCTGGAGTACTTCATCAACCGAAGCTGGGAGTGGAGCACAAACAATACCGAAATGCTGATGTCAGAGCTAAGTCCTGAAGACCAGAGGGTAAGAGAGCTCTCACTGGGAATTTGGAAGTATTTGACCTGTAAAGCTGATGAAGGTATAATCCTAGCTACTCTGGAGGCTAAAATCTGGGATCAAGGTTTGAAACCAGCCAGAAAAGTCCATGAGACTCTTATCTCCAATTAACTACCAAAAAGAAAGAAGCAGAGCTCAGTGGTAAAGCCCCAGCCCTGAGTTCAAGCCCCAGTACTGGCACAAAGAAAGAAAGAGAGAAAGGGTGGGAGGGAGGAAGATGAGAGGGAGGGAGGAAGGTGGGAGGAAGAGAGGAAAGGAGGAAGGGTAGGAGGAGGGAGGGAAGGAAGGAAGGGAGGGAGAGAAGGAAAGGAGGGAAGGGAGGGAGGGAAGGGAGAGAAGATGAGGAAGGAAGTTCTGGTTATAGACAGTTGTTTATCAGTTAAGAAAACCAGGCCATGTTTATCTACAATCACAGGAAATTAAATATAGGAAAGAGATCTACATTTTGGACATTGGTTCAATTTTCATTCCTGTTCTGCATTCATATTTCATACACTGCAATTCAATCACTTCGTAAACCCTCAGTATTTATTTTTTGAGTAAGCTCAGTTCCTGTTAGCCCATCTTTTTTTTTTTAAATGCTGTCACTAGGGCTTGAACTCAGGGCCTCACACTCTTGTTTAGCTTTTTTGCTCAAGACAAGCACTCTGCCACTTGAGCCACAACTCTACTTCCAGCTTTTTGCTGGTTAGTCAGAGTTTCATACGCTTTCCCGCCCAGGCTGATTTTTAACCATGATTCTCAGCTACTCAGCCTCCTGAATTACAGGCAAGGGCCACCAACAAATGTTTATGAATGCCCAAAATATTAGACAGGCCCACTAACATTTAATCACTTCCTTCTTTGGTCTAAGACTGTTTCTTGGTGACTAATATTTAACATTTATTTTCATATAAAAGAGGCTAAATAAATAGCTCTAGAGAACTACTGAATCTTTAAGGTATCAAATTGAATTATATTTGTTGTAAGTTTAATATTCTCTAGATAAAAGGAAACAGCCAATCATAAACAACAGGTGCAAGTTATAAAATAAACACAAGACATTCTCACACATTGCACCTGTTTTAAAGTGAATAAACTTATAGTGAGTGGTGACTGGCTTTTGGGATTTAACAATGTCTCTTATTTGGTACAGTCTAATCCTCCATCAAAGACTAGTGCTAAACAAAGAACAGTTTAATGAGATTGCACTAATATACATCTTCTATAAGTATCAAATAATAGAAGAACTTTATAGCAACAAGAAAGGCACTTTTAGTTTTAAAATTAATATGAAGGAGCAGATGAATGCTCACATCTATGAATCCCAGCTACTTGGGAAGGCCCCAAGAAGACAATCATGGCTGGAGGCTAGCGTTGGCAAAAAGTTCAAAGTATAACTAATATTCCATCTGAAAATAAAAGAAACAAAAGTAGGGGTGGAGTGGGGGTTCAAGGCACAGCTCTGATAGTACAGCAAGGCCCTGGGCTCAAAGCCCCAGTGCCAGCCAGGAACCACCTGTCATCCTAGCTATTCAAGAGGCTGAGATTTAAGGATTGAGATTCAAAAAACCAGCGCAGGCAGAAATGCCCGTGATCTTATCTCAGATTAACGACCAAAAAGCTGGAAGTAGAGGTGTGGCTTAAGTAGTACTGTGCCAGCCTTGAACAAAAAAATAAAGGACAGTGAGAGACTGAGTTCAAACACCAATACTAGCACAAAAACTTTTTAAATTAAAAAATGAACAAGATTTCATGTTAAGGTTTGGGAAGGTAACTCAGGGGGAGAATATGTGGCTTAGTTTATACAAAGCTCATCTCTAGCACTCCTCAAAATAAATATAAATATAATTTTATTGTTATTATTGAGGTGCACAGATGGGTTATCATTTCACAATTCAATAACGAGTACAATGAGTCGCTCCTTCCTTCACTCAAAATAAATATTAGAAAGTTAATTTGAGCTAGGTACTGGGCTCCCATTGGTAATCCCAGCTACTCAGGAGGCTGAGATCTGAGGATCATGATTCAAAGCCAGCCCAGGCAGGGAAGTCAGGAAGACTCTTATCTCCAACTAACCAGCAAAAAAAAATCCAGAAGTAGAGCTGTGGAACAAGTGGTAGAGCACTCGCTTTGAGCAAAAAAGCTAAGGGACAGTAGACAGTACCTATGCTGGTAACTCATGCCTGTAATCCTAGCTACTCAGGAGGATGAGATCTGAGGATCAAAGCCAGCCTGGGCAGGAAAGTCCATGAAACTCTTATCTCCAATAAACCACCAGAAAACCAGAAGTAGTGCTGTGGCTCAAGTAGTAGAGCGCTGGCCTTGAGGTGAAGAGCTGAAGGACAGCGCCCAGGCCCAGAGTTCAAACCCCAGGACCAAAAAAAAAAAAAATTACATGTATACGTGTGTGTGTGTGTGTGTGTGTGTGTGTGTGTGTGTAGCCCTAATGCTTATCTTTATTGTCAGAAAGCTTTGAAATAACATCTCTGCAATCCAACCTAAATATCCCAAACTAAATGTCCTTTCTTTATGTAGAAGGAGCTTGGTCAGAAATCATCGCCCACTGGTACAATTCTGGCAATGCCATGCTCTCTCTCTCCTTGCAGGTATTCAATTTTGATGTGCGCCAGCTGAACTGGTTGGAATACACTGAAAATTATGTGTTGGGAGTTAAGAAATACCTACTGAAAGAAGATATGGCTGGAATCCCAGCAGCAAGGCAACACTTAAAAAGGTAAGCATAATCACCCTAGGCACCAGTGGCTTACACCTGTCAACCTAGCTATTCTGGAGGCTGAGATCTGAGGATCATGGTTCAAAGCCAATTTGGACAGGAAAGTCAAGGAGACTGTGGCTCCAGTGGTAGAACACCAGCTTTGAGTTTTGAAAAAAGCTAAGGGCAGTGCCCAGGATCTGAGCTCAAGCCCCAAGATTAACACAAAGGGGGGAAAAAAAAGCCCAATCATTCCAGGGAATATTTGCAGAGTCCTCCCCTTTGTATCTGACTTTATACTACACAAAATTTGAGCAGGTTAAGCAATTCGCCCTGCAATATATGATTTCCTTTAGATTTCACTACGCCCCAAAGAGGCAGATATGATTTCTTTTAGTTCTTATTGTGGATGTTGTGGGTGCACACCAGTATTGAGGCTCAAATTTAGGGCCTTGCACACTTCCATAGATTATTTGCTTAAGGCTGGCACTCTTACCATTTGAGACACATCTCCATCTCTGGCTTTCTGCTGGTTAACTGGAGACCAGAATCTCCTGGATTTGTTGAACTGGGAACATTAGATCTCAGCTAGTATTACAGGGCCACTGGCACCTTACCTGTTTTTTTTTTTTTTTTGGTCGGTCGTGGGGCTTGAACTCAGGGCCTAGGCGCTGTCCCTCAGCTCTTCAGCTCAAGGCGAGCGCTCTACCACTTCAGCCATAGCGCCACTTCTGGTTTTGTGCTGGTTTATTGGAGATTAGTCTTACAGACTTTCCTGCCCGGGCTGACTTTGAACCGTGATCCTCAGATCTCAGCCTCCAGAGTAGCTAGGACTACAGATGTGAACCACGGGCACCCAGCCTGTTTTCTTATCTCTATCACAGAAAATAGGCTCAAAGGAGGGAGTAGTAGATCCTCCATGGCCATCAAGAGTAAATACAGGCACCCTATGTAAAGAGGCACCCTATATAAAGAGGCACAGGATGCAGACCTCAGGGTAATTGATCATGATGCACAAGGGGGAGAGGGGTGGAGAGAGACTTAGCCACTCAAGTCCCTTGACCTCTGTATGTATCTCCCAGTCACAAATTCAGAGGCATAAAGAATTATAGCACACAGGGAATAATTCTGGTAGCATAGAGATGGTAAGGATGGACTCACAGATCACAAACAGAAAGGAATTAAAAATCCAGGGTGAGAACTTTAGAATTTACTCTTTAGTTAATAGGAGCCATGGATTTAAGATATGGTCTTAAGATGGAAGGGTATTTTTGAAAAGATAAACTGGTTATGCTTGTAAAATAATTTCAAGTTGGGAAGAATAGGAGAAAGAGTAAGTAGTCAGGGGAATGTGGTAGAAATCTGATTCCCTGGAAGGAATGGTTTGGGAATGAGACATGAAGCCATGAGTTCAAGTCCCATAGACTATTTAAATAAACACTTGGTTAGTCAAGAGACAGATATGCTTTAAGGCAATACAGTCAGTTTCTGGATACCATGGTTCACTTTGTGTGTCTGTCTTCCCTCCAGGCTCCGAAATATTCACTACCTCTTTAACACAGTCCTCTTCCTCATCATCTGGCGTCTTCTCATCACCCGGTCTCAGATAGCACGGAACATCTGGCTATTCATTGTGAGCTTCTGTTACAAGTTCCTCTCTTACTTTAGGGCCTCCAGCTCTCACAAGGCCTAAGAATGTTCAACAACCACCTTTTCTCTGAAACCTCTCCTCAGATACCTCTATATCAGCAAACTGTGATACTTCAGATCAGGAAATAAGAAGGAACCCAAGTGGTCAAATGGTTATACATTGGCTCCTACATCTTCACTGTATATTCTTTTTATTCCAGTGACAAAAGCAAGCTATAGTTTGTCTTCACATATTTTTGGGGAGGCAGGGAAGCCTCAATTATTTCCTAGCATCTATTCTACACTCTTGCATATTAAGCATGAAAGTGCCCACATTTCTCTGCATTTCTCTTACCTTTTTTTCCCTGAGGATCAGTTCAACTCAATAGGCAAAGAAGACTTGGTGGAAAGCAAAATAAGCTAAAGAAAGGCCGTACTGGCCAAGGCTTGGTGGCTTACATCTGTAACACTAGGTACTCAGAGGTCAAATTGGGTGGGATGTCAGCTTGATACGGTTTGTGATCCCAGCTATGTGAGAAGTGGAAATGAGAGAATCACAGTCCAGGATGGCAGGGCAAAACTTGGAAACCCTACCTGAAAATGAGCTAAAAAGGGAGAGGGGTGGTTTAAATGGTATAGCATTTGCTTAGCAAGTGTAAGTCCCCAGGTTCAAACTTCAGACACACCAAAAAACCATTCTGGAACACCAAAGAAAATAATTCAATATCAAGATAAGAAACAGTGTAAAGTCTTCACAAATGCTGTACAAAAAATAACCTCCCACTAGAAATGTCTCTCCTTTAATTATATGTCAAGGGTAGAAAAATGTGACTCCTCTTTACCATTTTGTCTGGATTATATCCACTCCTTAAAACTATAAAAAAAAAAAACAGGGGGGAACCAGGAATTGTCAACTATGATGTTTATGAGAACTTAACTGTAACTGCAGTCAGGTATTCTCTATAGCTTCTTATACACTTTGAAGACCTCAGAATTTTGCCAACTCTCAAAAGTTTCTAATCAGTTTTTCTGAGGACCTTCTCTTGAGCTTCCTTCTTGCTCAGTGATGTGACAAAGCCCTGGTGCTTTATCTTTATTCCACTCAGACCTTGCTGAGAGTGGCTGTCAGGGAGAGAGAAGGTCCCAGACTAGAATTTACATGTAACTGCATAACCCCAGCTTCTTGCATGAGGATTATCAGGATTTTGTTATTCTAATTATACCAGGGTAACTGTACAATGTGCGGCAGAAAAGTGGATTTCATTACCTCTAAATTTAGATAACAGGGTAGTTTTTTATTCTTCAATATTTTATATATACTACAAATCTTAAAACTTTCTATATTAAGATTTCTAAACTAATAACTGTCCCTTATGTTTAAGGATGAGGGTATGTTGGATTGCAAAGTAGAATATTATTAAAACATAATAGTTGAGGCTACATAAGTAGTGACATTTAAACAGGCACAAAAGGTTAATAAAGAACAGCAAGTATCTATCTGCCAGGCACCATGGTGCATACCTGTCATCCCAGACACAGGGGAGACTGCGATCTGAGGACCAGATAAGAAAGTCCATGAGACTCTTATCTCAATTAAGCAGCAAAAAGTAAAAAATGGAGGTATTGTTCAAGTGGTAGTGTGCCAACCCTTGAGTGAAAAAGTCAAGCCAGAGCCTGAGGCCCGGAGTTCAAATCCCAGTACTGGCACAGGCATGCATGCATGCATGCATGCGCGCACACACACACAGAGCAGCAGCAAGTATATTTATGCTCACTTTCTGGAATAATTAATAATATGTAAACAAGGCTTGCAGGCAACATCTGACCTGGCATCGCCTGTGACCCCTGACCTCCACACAGGACATCTTCTGGGTTAATGTTTGTCCTAATCAGGCCTGAGGTCTGGGTCTGATTTCCACTAGACAGGTCCACATGCAAGCACCTAAAGACTTTAGTTCCACCGAAGACAGCAATGATTGCCATGAGAAAAATACTTCAAGAAACAGGATTGGTTTAAATGGTAGTAATAGTTCTAAGAAGTTCCTCTTTTTGGTGATCATATCTGATCAAGAATTGTCCTGATCGAATATTCACATTTGACTTTTGATTGAATGATCTTTAAAGTAAAACTGTTCTGTCTCTCTTCTACTGTTGTCTTTGCTTCTTGGTTGATGGGCAGTCCTGCCTGCCGCAGAAAACTCTACAACCCCTCCAGGGAAAAGGAGATAACCTTCTAAAGAACTTTCAAATCAGCAAACCCCAAGAATCAGATAAACATAAAAACTCGTGCCTTGCTTTGTTTCTAGGGCAGTTTTTACACAAGGGTCCTATCTGTGGCCTTGTCACAAATGGAGCTCCCTTGGGAAGAATACATAATCAAAATAGGTAACTACATGAAAACCCCATGCAGATGGCCCTCAGGACCACTGAACAATTACTTGAATCCTCAATACATACAAATCAATAGGAATTTTTTTTAAAGGATGAAACACACAAAGGTTAAAAAGAGTCTAGTAATCTGTCTCTACCCACACAGTAACTTGATACATACAGTCCATCAAACAAAATACAGAAAGATTCAGGAAAATCATGTCAGCTTGAAGTCCCAAGGAACACCAGGAACTTTTAAAAGCCCACAAGAATTGCAGGCATACTTCCACATGGCTACTCTTCTGGAAGTTATCCTGACTATGTCTGGGAATATAAGCTTCTTTGGAGATCCCACATTCAAGCATGGGGGGGGGGGGGACGCTCACTGTCTGCTTTCTAGAAAATAGTTCCTTAAATTTAAAAAAAAAAAATTTAAAAGCAAGACTGGGAACTAACTTGTGGATGTGGCTAGTTTCAGAAAGTAATCCGCTGCAGAGGAGCCGTGTGACGAAGGCCCAAACATCTCCATGGGCACACAACTGCTGTAGGTGTTGAGCAATTTTATCGGAAATGCTGATTCTAGTCTAGTGTTGGCTCTGGGTAGATAAATATGTGAGAAGGCAAACTTGGAACAATTCTAGAAAAGGGAGAGGACACACTCATGCCTGTAATCCTAGCTACTTGGGAGGCTGAGATTGTGGTTTGAAGCCAGACCAGGTGTATAAATCAGAGACACTTATCTCCAATGAACCAGCAAAAAAAGTTGGAAGTGGAGGTGTGGCTTCCTTGAGAAAAAGCCAAGAGCCTTGAGTACAAGCCCTACAATCAGTACACGTGCACACGCATGCGCGCGCGCGCGCGCGCACACACACACACACACACACACGAAGCAAGGTAATTTTATCAGTAGAGAAATACTACATAAAAGAAAAACTGATGACATCACAATAATAGAACAAAAGGCTACTTACTCAAGTGTTCTATCAAGAGGGAGCACATAAATATTTTGAAAAAGGTTGACTTGCTGAAGGTCTCCTAGAGTTCAAAACAAGAGAAAAAAAATACAGCTGGGCAGAAAGGGATGGCATTGATCAAGATGCACTGTACACAAAACCAGAATATGGAATTGTAACCTCTTTGGACAACCATTTACTACTTTACAAAAAAGAAAGGGTACACTGTTCAAAAAGAAATATACTCGTTACCTGACTGTAACCCCTCTGTACATCACCTTTATATATATACATAAAGAGATCCAGGGGTTGGAGGTATGGCTCAGGTGGTGGAGTGCCAGCCAATAATCAAGAGCAAGCATCAGATGCTGAGTTCCAGTTTGGACAAAAAAAAAAAAAAACACCTAATCCCACATGTATAAGCCACACCTCTTTCTGTTTATGCAAGGTGAAGACAGGACTTCAAAGAGGGTCTAGGGACTTCTAGCTGCTCCAATCTTCAATTCTGCTTCTCTGATTCTGTGACAAGTATGCAGCAATGGTAAGTGCCTTACCAAGCAAAAACAGCAACCGGAAGAACAGAATCACTAAGCTCCATTGAACTGTGTGTACTGATCCTGAAACTTGAACTCAGAGCCTAGGTGCTTCCAGCCTCCCTTCCCCCCTACCCCCCCCCTCCCCAATTCTAGCATGAGCCATAGCTCCACTTCCAGCGTTTTGGTAGTTTGTTGGTATGGACTTTCCTGCTTGGGCTGGCTTCAAAACTCAATTCTCAGATCTCAGCTTCCAGAGTACTTAGGATTATAGCCATAAGCCACTGGTGCCCAGCTTGTACTCTTAAATTGACATTAACAGGACTCAAATTATTACGGAGGATAATGATAAGCCCATAGCGCTGAGGGCCAGTTTAATGACAGTTCCATCGTGTCAGTGCTAAGCACACCATGGGCTCTGTCCTCTGAGAACACTGGGAGGGCCTGAGCGTGCTGTGCACCCAGCAGCCCTTGGACTGTCACTCAAGCCCTATGATGCTTTTCACTTTCTTTTTTGTATGCTTTCTAGAACTCCACAGCAGAAGAGAAATAAAATCAACTACCTGGATGGGTATAAAATATTACTTTATTGTGATAAACCTCACAAGAATCTAAGATAATATTTCTGCTGTTAAATCCATTTGGGCCAGACACTGGTGGCTCACGCCTGTAATCCTACCTACTCAGGAGGCTGAGATCTGAGGATTGCGGTTCAAAGCCAGCCAGGGCAGGAAAGTCTTATTAACCACCAGAAAACTGGAAGTGGTGCTGGGGTTCAAGTGGTAGAGCACCAGCCTTGAGCAAAAAAGCTAAGCATTCAGGCCTTGAGTTCAAGCCCCAGTACTAGCACAAACACATTGTGTGTACAAACACACAATATGGCAGCTTGAACATTCATAAACTGATATTTTAAATATTCTAATAAAATGAAAGGATCGAAGGAGAAGCTCCATAACAGGCAGTTCACAAACTACTGCCAGGAACAAACAAGAAAGAAAGGTTGAGAACAGAAACTCTTCAACATATTTCGGTTATTTAAAAAGCTGCCCTATATTTGAATTTTCACTAATTCTTACTCTATTTGAAGATGGAATTTTTTAAATTTTAAAATGAAAATCAATGGCAAAGCAGGACTTTGCTTTAAATGAATTATTTTATAGGTGAGTGGAATCCCTCATGCCTGTAATTCTAGCTACATCGACTGGCTGAGATTGGATGACTATGGTTTAAGACCCAGCCTGGTCATGAGACCCCATTTCCCCACTTTAACCAATGTCTGGGCAGAGTTGCTCATGCCTGACACCCCAGCTATATAGGAGATATAAACAGCAGGATTTCAGTCCAGGCTAGCTGGACAAAAGGTAAGTGAACCCTATCTCTAAAAGAACTGGAGTAAAAAAGGCCAGAGGCATGGCTCATAAGTAGAGCACCTGCCTAGTAGGTAAAAAGCTCTGTTTGCTGGGTGCCAGTGGCTCATGCCTCACTCATAGCTACTTAGGAGGCTGAGATTTGAGGATTCCAGTTTGAAACTAGCCCAGGCAAGAAAGTCTGTGAGACTCTTACCTTCAACACACTAACCAAAACAGCTAGAAGTAGAGCTGTGGCTCAAGTGGTAGAGCACTAGCATTGAGCAAAAAAGCTTAGAGTGCCCAGGCTCTGAGTTCAATCCCCAGGACCAGCACAAAAAAACAGTATTAAAAAAAAAAGAAAAAAAAAAAACCTCTGAGTTCAAGCCCCCATATAAAAAGAAAAATCATTTCTTTATAATCAGTTTTAGTGAGACAGATTCATTTCAATAAAATTTTAATACTGCATTTAAAAAACATGGAAATAATTCAAAATCATATAAAGAATAATTTTCAAATCTGTTTGAAGATACTTAACTGCTGTAATCCTGAAAGTCATCCTAAGTCAGCATACTTCTCCCACAAAAAAAAAAAAAATCACATTTTCTAACAAGTAGCTTTAGAAAACAACATTCAGTCTTTCATTGTGACCCTCTCCAGTTCAAACTCTGAGGTGCTCTATTCATTTCTTGCCTAATTTTGTTGCAAATATTTGGGAGGAAATTTTAAAAACTCAGACAAGACTAAATCATTATTTGGAACTTCCTGATTCAAATTTTTTTAAAACACATGAATCGGTTAACCTTTTTTTAACCCAGGGAAACCAGTATTTTCCATAAAATTCACATCTAACATTCAACATGAACTTCAGTTCAAGGTATTTCTACCATGATTCCTTTCATCATTAATGTCTACTCTCAAGAATTTTATATCATTAAAAAGTATTTTATATCATGAAAGGTATTTTCACAATAACCTGTGACATTGTTCTCCACAGCCATTTGATTCATTTACTTTTTGTTTGTTTTTTGGGTCTGGTCATAGGGCCTGAACTCTGGGCCTGGGTGCTGTTCCTCAGCAATTCAGCTCAAGGCTAGCGCTCTACCACTTGAGCCACAGCGCCACTTCCGGCTTTTTTCTTTTTGCTTATGTGGTGCTAAGGAATCAAACCCAGGGCCTCAGGCATGCAAGGCAAGTGCTCTACCACTGAGCCACCTTCCCCGCCCAATGATTCATTTGCTTTTGCTTGGTTGTTTTGCCAGTATTGGGATTAAGCCCAAGGCCTCAATGCTAAAGCCATTTTAAATCTAGTTGTAAATGAAGTCTGGTTATTTGTTGAGGATGATCTTTCAGTCCTCATCTCCCTGGTATGGTTTCTCCACTCTCCTAAATGACCCGAATGGTAGCGATAGGTAGAGGGCTCATTTCTTGCCATTATTACAAAAGCAAAGCTGATACTGGCACACGTCTTCCAAGTAGTTTGTAAGAGTACTGAGTAATCACTCTTTTTCATAGCCTTAATCTTTTCCATTTTTGTGCTGTGAGCTTGAACTCAGTACCTGGGCACTGTCCCCTGAGCTTTTGGCTTAAGGCTAGAGCTTTAGCACTTGAGCCACAGCTCCACTTCTCGCTTTTTGATAGTTAATTGGAGGTAAAGAATCTCATGGACTTTCCTGCCCAGGCTGGCTTTGAACCATGATCCTCCATATCAGCCTCCTGAGCAGCTAGGATTCTAGTCATGAGCCACCCACCAGCTTGTAGCTTAATCTTTTTGTTTTATGGAAATTTGAAACCAAGAGTTTGAAAATGAGACCAGCACCATCTAGTACAGTATCCTCTTCAGGACATACTGAAGTTAATACTTCTTTCCTAATCATTTCTCATCTAATGGGCACTGTTTGCGCACACCACATCTCTCAGACCCTGTCATACTGCAGACCTCATGTGGTTTCAGTAGCTGCCCCATTCCCCACTTGCCATATGTATACTTACTATCTAGGAACAGATATTGTCACCATCAAAGGTGGATCTGCTTATTCCTGTTCCCCAGAGTATCCCTATAATATTGTAATTAGGAAATTTTAGCACTGTCTTTCACACAATAGGGTCTCCATTGCAAAATAACCATGTTGTATTACAGCACTTACCAAAGTGCCCCTGGGAGATTGCACTTTTGTCTTCTAATACTCTACCTGCAACACTTAGAAGAATCAACAACAAGCAGTTGCCTTCGTAAGACCAAAGTTTAGGTAAAAGTGGTCCTGTCCATATGGCTTAACATGAGCATGGCTACCTACACAAGAACCTGGGCCCTGGTGTTGTCACTAACAGTGTGACCTGGTGACACTTGTTTTTCAAAGTCTAGACTAGTAGTCCATTATGTTTTACACCTTTTATTCTCACATCAGGTTTGTAAAAACAGAAGCAGCTGACATATGCACTTATAGAGGCCTTTTCCTTAGCTGTGGTTTTTCTTCCTGGACATAGTCCCCAGGTGTGAGAGAAGCAGAGGCTCATCTTGACGCCAGCATCTGGCCGGCGCGGTCACTGATTCGTGGTGTTGTCTCTTCTAGGACACTTGTGACAGACACAATATCAATAGGATTTCACATTGGGGTTGTTTTGTTCCTTTTTTTTCCTCTTTTTTTTTTTTTAAAGTAAGTGTGTTCCCAGTTTCTCATTCGTACTTTTCTTTGAATATATTGCACAATATTTGATTATTAAAAAAAGATTTTTAGGTCTCAGGCAAAAAAAAAAAGTTTTTCTCCTTCCCCTTAGGAGGTGCTAATGTGTATTATTTTCTAAAAGAGGTAAGTGGTTGTCTGTGTGGCCATCCTCAAAGGGAACCTAGGGGAAAAAAGACCAAAGCATTAATGTTACTCTTTACAGATTCCTTCTAACACTAAGCTGTGCTGGGGGTAAGGACATTGAGCTGGAGATAGGCACCATGCGTGCTGCACCACTTACTGAATGGACAGCTTTATAGGATCCAAGTCTGAAACGACAGCAAATTATCTCGACTATAAATTTTCCAATTCCATGTAACATGCCTGCAATAAATAAGTTCAGGTTTTTAAATTAAATTTCTTCTGTCATTTCTATAATAAAAATAAAAAACTCACCTAACCATAATGGACCACATTAAGAAATGAAACCAATTGGCTTACATTATGTCCGTTTAAAATATTCAAAAGAAGGATGGGGGCTGGTGAGTGCAGTTTTAAGATTCCATGTACAGCCCAGAACCAATGGTTCAAGCCTATTCAGGAGGGTGAGATCTGAGGATAGCAGTTCAAAGCCAGCCCAGACAGAAAAATCCCCACGAGACTCTTCATATCCAATTAACCACTCCAAAACTGGAAGTGGTGCTGTGGCTCAAAGTGGTAGAGCACTAGCCTTGATTGAGCAAAAGAGCTCAGGGACAGCACCCAGGCCCCGAGTTCAAGCCCCACAACCAAAATAAAAAGATTCAATGTACATATGTGAAAATGGAGCCAGGTAATTTAAGAGGATGGATGGGGGTGAGAGATAGGGGAAAATGATGGAAAGGATAACACTGGTCAAGATGTCTTGTGGTCATAAACTGACATGTAGTCATAAAATTAAACCCCTCCATACAACTACTTAAACAATAACAAAAAACCTAAACAATAATTAACAAATGTATCTTCAAAATCACATGGTCAACAAAAATTCATGACCTTGCACAATCTTTTCAAGGTTAGCTCACAGACTTTAAACCAAATGATATTGACAACATGCATTCAAATAAATTGAAAGGAAACAGTAACAGAAAATCCTGTTTAAAAAAACTATTCATTTTTTCCAAAGTTATAATTCTAAAAAACACATATGACTTCAAGTATGTGAATTACCCAACTCTGTGTAACCATTAAACAGGCAATGAAATAAAGCAGGAACAATTTATATATTGGACTTAATTCTCAAATTCTCATAATTACAATTCTCCCAATGATCTTTAGTGCATTCTAAAATCTCAGGCCAAAATTCAAAACTACTGGATACAAGTTGAGTGTACCAGGAGTTATTTAGCTTTTATATGTTGCACAGCTAAAAGGACAATAAATAAAAAGCAAAATTAAGCCGGGCACCAGTGGCTCATACCTGTAATCCTAGCTACTCAGTAGGCTGAGCATCTGAGGATCATGGTTCAAAGCCAGCCTGGGCAGGAAAGTCCATGAGATTCTTATCTCCAATAAACCACTAGAAAACCGGAAGTGGCACTGCGGCTCAAGCGTTAGAGGGCTCACATTGAGCTGAAAAGCGCAGGGACAGCACCCCACAACCCACCAAAAAAAAAAAAAAAAAAGCAAAATTAACACTGAGTGACTATTTCTAGGCATTTTCTCATTTAGCCCTACAACACACTAGCTAGATATCCGATTCCAAATTTTAGAGATGAGAAAATTCCAGACAAAGGAGATGGCCCAAAGACAAATGGTGGAAATGGATTGAAGTCTAGTTCTGTCTGCTCTCCATGCCCAGGGTACACAAGAGCTTACCATTTTACCTCCCTGAAAGTACTAAATGATGTGAAATCACTTATGCTTAATGGCTAGTGAGTATAATTCAAATCTCAAGACAACTGTTTTAGATTTGTTGCCCCCTGAAAAATGGCTTCTTGCAGGGCTGGGGATTGAACTCAGAATCCAGAGCCACACATATGGCTACACTCTACAACAGACCTATACCCCCAGCCCAAGAAGTATATCAGAAGTGGAATGGATACTTCTACAAATTAAGACTAAGAAATGTATGTTGACCTGTTGTTGAAAAGATTCCTCCAACAATACCGCAGAGTCTTACAAAAAACTGCCAGAATGGCATATGCTCCTCAGTAACAGTCACCATGAGAGAGCTGAGATCGTATTTCATGAAGATTCCAGAAACTCCATGGCTGCCTGCAGCATGGTTGATGATGCGCTCCTGAAAGGGAAAGGAGAAACAAATTCTTGCCACTTGATTACTAACACAGACTCTACATTAAACTTTATGGCTCTACAGTACAAGGACACATCCCAAATTTTTCACCAACCATTAGATCTGACAATTTATTCACAGACAATTTATTCAGTGTCCCTTGTGAGGTTAGCTTTCCAAACTACCTAAACAACAGAATAGAGCCAGGCATGGTGGTGCACACCGTGTAATCTCAGCACTCAGGAGGCACAAGGCAGGAGGGACTGCAAGATGAGGAGGTCACCCTGGGCTACACAATGAGACCAAGTCTCAAAAAAAAAAGAAAGAAAAATCTTTTCTATTTTCAAGTTTTCTTCTGAACCTCACAAGCTTACAACTAACTCTATGGCACGTTCTTTTAATGACTAAATCCATTAAAACTAATATTTGGATAAACTTTTGTCTTCTTTTAGGAATTTACAAAAAAATAACATTTTTAGTTAAGTGATTGAATTTTGAAACAACTAATTTCAGTGTCTATTGTTTAAACTATGAGAGATACAATACAGAAAAAAAAAAAACTAATGCACTAAGTTGAAAGATATCTATGCTTTTTTTTTGGTTTGGTTTTTTTGGTCAGTCTTAGGGCTTGAACTCTGGGCCTGGCACTGTCCCTCAGTTCTTCAGCTCAAGACGAGCACTCTACCACTAGAACCACAGTTCCACTTCCAGTTTTCTGGTAGTTAACTGGAAATAAGAGTATCACAGACTTTCTTGCCCATGCTGGCTTTGAACAGCAATTCTCAGATCTTAGCCTCTGAGTAGCTAGGATTACAGGCATGAGCGACTTGGTGCCCCACTAAGATATCCATGTTTGAGTTTTAAAGAAAAAGCAATGTTAATGAATTCAACTAGAACTACAAATAAACCACTGTGCACACAGATGAAAAAGCAATTTTCTTTCTTTCTACCCTGTTTATACTTTAGCAATCGAGTTCTCAAACTTTCTGATAAATTGCTATTACAGATCCAAACTATGACCCAATTACAACTTTTGAGCCAGAGTCTAATTTGACAAAGCTATAACTAAAGTGCAAGTGTTAGGAATATGGATAATCAAGTTACTGGTGTTTAACTAAAAAGAAAACTAGAACAATTTAATGAGATCTACTAAGAAACCTATTTCCCTACTATTAGTACACTAGGCCCTCAGGAACTGCTGACTGAGGGTCCAAGAGCACCTCCACTCTGCCTCCTGACATGCTCAACAATCCAAGTTATGCTCTGGTATCACCCATGGTAGGGACGGATGTTCCTGTGTAGGGATTGGGACATCTAAAGTAGCAAAAGTAGACTAATAATGACTTACTTGGGGTACTAAGAGTTTTGCAAAGCACAGCCCTTTCCCTCCATGCCTTCTCAATACTGTATCAAATCAATTTTCCATTTCTTTTATAAACAAAGCACAACTATTTTAGTTATTCATTAGCACAAAAACCTGCATCAAGGATAAATGCTCTGGAATTGTATTTCTTGATTTTTATTTTTTTGTGCCAGTACTGGGACTTGAAATCAGGGCCTGGGCTACTCTCTCTTTTAGCTTTTCTTCGATCACAGTTAGTACTCTATCACTTAAGCCACAGCTCCACTTCTGGATTTTTGCTGGTTAATTGAAGATAAGAATCTCATGGATGTTCCTGCCCAAGTTGTCTTCAAACTTCAATCCTTGAATTGCAGTTGTGAACCACTGGGAACAAGCTGACTTTTGTCTTTTTTATGTAATACTGCCAATTATATCCTGGATATAATAACATGTAAGGATACAGAGATCTTCTACATTCTTATTCTCCCTTTAGAGCTACATAATTTGGATATTTCTAGTCTACTACCATTATAGTAACAAACTATTTTTGTGCTTATCCCATTGTATCTTGAGAAAGATGTCCTAGGATAGGGATCTCTGGATCAATGGTGAATGTGCCTGTCACTTTCCAGATATTGCCAACATGTCTTACAGAGACTGTGGCATTTTACACTCCCATGGCAATTTACGCGCATCTGTTTCCTTCAACTGAACATGCTATCTTTCAGGTGCTGGTCAACTAATAGAAGAGAAATGGTTTCTCTTTAACTTTACAGAAGTATTGAAAAGCATAGTATTCATTTGCATATGCTTGACCTAGTTACTGCATACACATGAGTATACTCACACATACGTATGAATACAATTATCTATACTTGGTTTTTCTTCCTTGAACCACATAAAACTTTCACAGTACATCCTTAAAATGATAATTTCAGAAGAACAAGGGAAATTCTGACAACTAAGAACTTACTCATATTAAGTTATAACAATAGTAAAAGAAACCTACATATAGAAGAAAGCAGATTTAACCCAAAAAACCAAAAAAGTATCCTTCCAGATACTAGTGATTATTTATCAGTCTTTTTTTTTTTTTTGTCGGCCATGGGGCTTGAACTCTGGGCCTGGGCACTGTCCCTCAGCTCTTCAGCTCAAGGCGAGCACTCTACCACTTGAGCTACAGCACCACTTCCGGTTTTCTGGTGGTTTATTGGAGATAGGAGTCTCACGGTCTTTCCTGCCCGGGCTGGCTTTGAACCGCGATCCTCAGATCTCAGCCTCCTGAGTAGCTAGGATTACAGGCGTGAGCCACCAGAGCCTGGCGTTATTTATCAGTCTTAAACACACCAAAGAAAAAGAAAAACTCAGAAGAGATGAGAGATCTATTAACCATCTAATTCTAAAACTTTCCTCTTTGTCAGTCAACTGATCTGCCTGTCTATTCTGAGGTTGTGAAACACTCTTCCTATCAATGTACAATACCCAGAATGAACTGGGCTTGCTATCTGACTTTCCATCACTGCATGTGGTCCAGGCAGGAACATTTGATGAAAAACGGCTAATACAAAAATCTACTGTAATTTAAGACAAAGAATGATATAAAACCATGACACTATGCCAGGTGCCACTGGCTCTTGCCTGTAATCCTAAATACTCAGGAGGCTGGGATGTGAGGATCATGGTTCCAAGCCAGCCTGGTTAGGGCAGTCTGCAAGATTTTTATCTACAACTGACCTCCAAAAAACTGTAAGTAGAACTGTGGCTCAAAACAGAGTACCAGCCTTGAGTAAAAAAGCCAGGTATGTGCAACCCACAGTACCCACACCAAAAAATAAATGAGACTAATAAGATCATTGATATAATCATATTTTAACAATTTTAAGTCCTAGGTGAATAGGAACACTTCAGACTTTTTAAATCTATTTTTTTTTTGCCCAAGAACATACTAATACCTACTTCTATTTTTTTCTACGTAAATAAAATGTCAATTCAAGACTTCTAGAATTTAAATGAAGGATGGCACCAACTCAAAGTTCAACTTTACCTTACAGCTGAGCAACTATAAAATGCTAATACAAATTATTTTATAAGGGTGGCCTCACTTACCCTTTCTGTAACAGAAAACTGATGTGTTTCTGCTGAAATTTTATATGTCTGGAGTTTTGTTGGCACAACTGTAATAAAATATTGGAACATCTGGTTGTCTAAAATAAGAAAAGAAATTTTCATCAGTCTTGTACTACTATACAATACTATTGCCAAATATATCCTTTTCCCATAATTTAAACTTACATTTAATACTATATTTCACTTAATGTCAGATTAGAAAAAGAAGCAGTTAAGTGTCAATGGCTCAGACCTTTAATTCTAGCTCTTCAGGAGGCAAGATCTGAGGATTGTGGTTCAAAACAGCCTAGGTAGGAAGGCCTGCAGAGTTGTTAAACTCCAATTAGCCAGCAAAAAGCCAAAAGTGGGGCTATGGCTCCCCTGGTAGAACACTAGCCTTGAGAGAAAATGCTATGGGAAAGCACCAAAGTCCTGTGTTCGAGCCCGAGTAATCACACCAGAAAAAAAAGGGAAAAGAACTGTTAACTCTGACATAATCACACTTGGTAAACCAAGGTCCTAGGGCAGTGTAAAATAGGAACGTGCTTGTACATGTGTGCACATGTATACCCAGAAAAAATATTTAAAATGAGCCAGTGGTTCAGTTTGATTACCATTACATCATTAACTTCTTTATATGGAAAAATAAAGGTAACATTTCCTTTTACAGTATAAAAACTACAAAGATAAAGGTTTTGGAGGACAGCCAAGAGGGCGATGAAACAGCAGGGAAACACCACAGCTCTCTCCAACCAAAAGAAAGTTCAAGTCCCAACTCTCAGTTCCCCCACGGATTTGTACCAAGCCACCAAAGCGACCCAACCCACAGCCGCCTAGGACCTCGGAGCCACAGCAGCCCTTACAACTCCAGTGCAGAAAACTCCCACAGCACAGGACCCGGACAGTGTAAACAGAGACAGAGACCATAAAACCCAGACCTGGAGCTCCCACCAACACCCTGCCCAGCCCACAGTGATTGTAAGGGAGCAACGATGGCAACCAGTGACCTACAGCACACAGATAGTGATCTGCAACATCACCAGTTGCAGGATAAGTGAATACCCCACGGGGACACTGCCCCCCCCCAAACTGCACCATGGGAAACCATTACCGGCTGTAACCCCCAGAGCTAGACAAGGACCACTCCCCCTCCTGCCTGGGCTACTGGTCCCACTGAAGCTGGGAATTATGAAAGTGCCCCAGCAACCGGAAGAATACACCCAGCCTGCCAGGTCACAGCCAGTCCTCAGCTGAAGCCTACTTGTGGCTTGCAAGCTCCAGCAGCTGCAGAAGGAGCTCCACCTGTGTGTCCTAGATGGGTCCTCTGGCAACTTAAACCGAGGGTACCTTGCTGAAGTCGGGAGCACTGCTGGTCCCTGTCTGAAATCAGGAACTGGGCTCACAGGCCCGAGAAGCCGGCAGCGGAAGGAGGCCCACCTGTGTGTTCCCCGCAGGTGCTACTGACCCAGGAACCAACCCAGAACCAAACGAAGCAGCCACCTATTGACCAAAACAGACAGAGTTCGGAATTTGACTCCAACAATCCCTGAATCCTCACACAAAAATCACAGCAAAAAATTACAAGACTCATCAACAGCCAAGACAGCAAACTACCACCAAAGGCCAGTAGCCACTCAGGGAAGAATTCCAGTGAAAGAGAAAAAGAAATGGATTATCAAAAGAGATCCAGGATTTCAAAAAAGAGATGCACACAAGAATAGATGCAGTACACACCTCATTAAAAGATGAAATGCTCTGAGAACTGACATGGAAATCATAATGGTTCAATTTCCTCCAGGCAAACCACAATGGAAGCCAGTTTATAAGAGTGAATGAAATGGAAAATAGATTATCAGGTACTAAAGACAAAATGCAGCAATTGGGGGGAAAAAGAAGTCACAGATATGGAAAAAACACTCAAAATAGGCCAAAGAGAAGTTCAAGAACAAGCAGACAATGCCAAGAAATTCATATAATTGAGGTCGATGAAGGTGAGGTTGACGAAGGGAATAGCAGAACAGAGGGACACAACACTTATTTAATAAAATTATCACTGAAAAATTTCCCAATCTTAAAAGAGAAAATCTGACCTATACAACAGAACCATACACAACACCTAGCAAACGGGATCCCAGGAGGAACACTTCTAGGCACATGATAGTAAAAACGCTAAATCTGAACAATAAAGAAACAATCTTGCATGCGGCAAGAAGCTATACTACAATGGGGGAAAAAAATCAGAATCACTGCAAGTCTCTCTACACAGACACTGAAAGCAAGGAAAGCATGGAAAAGTACCATCTGAGCCTTCAGAACCAATAACTGCCACCCCAGACTGGTATATCCAGTGAAGCTAGCATTCACATTTGACAAAGAAACTAAAAATTTTAATAGTAAAGAAAAACTAAATGAATTCATAAACAATAAGCCAGCACTACAAAGAATATTAAAGAGGGGGATTACAATCTGAAGAAAACAATCAAGATCAGGGACACATATCAGACAGATATCACTAGAAGACTAACTTAGTAAGCACTGGAAGAAAGAAAAACATAGGAAAGCAGGAAAATGACAGGAAACACAATGCACCTCTCTATAATAACCATAAATATTAATGGACTCAATTCGCCAATCAAAAGAAAAAAAAACTGAAGATAGAATCAGAACACAACATCCATTTGTTGCCTTCAAGAGACCCATCTCACAGTCAAAGATAAAAACAAACTCCAAGTGAAGGGATGGAGGAAGATCTATCATGCAAATGCTCCCAGCAAGAAGGCAGGGGTTGCCATCCTGCTATCTAACAAAATAAACTTTCCATTAAAATCAATACAAAAAGACCAAGAAAGACACTATGGATTAACACAGGGAACAAGCCAGGCACCAGTGGCTCACACCTGTAATCCTAGCTACTTAGGGGGCTGAGATCTGAGGATCTAAGTTCAAAGGCAGTCCAGGCAGGAAAGTCTGTGAGACTTATCTCCAATAAACCACTCAGAAAACCAAAGTGGTGCTGTGGCTCAAGTGGTAGAGTGCTAGCCTTGAGCTGAAGAGCTAGTGGACAGCACTCAGCCCCAGAGTTCAAGCCCCACAACTGACAGGAAAAAAAAAATACAGGGAACAACCCAAGAAGAGGATATCATCATTATCCATTTATACTCTCCAAACATTGGAGCACCCAAATACGTTAAGCAAATACTCTCAGACTTATAAGAAATAATAGTCCAAATACAATAATACTAGGAGACTTTAATACTCTCATCAAAGGACAGGTCTACCAACCAGAGGATTGGCAAAGAAGCCTCTGAATTAAATGATACCATCTCAAATAGACTTAATAGACATATACAGTGTTTTCCACCCAACAACAACCTAGTACACATTCTCAGCAGCCCACGGAACTTTCTCCAAAATAGATCATATCAGAGTTCACACAAAGAATTTAAGCAAATACAAGAGGACTGATATAACTCCTTGTATTCTATCCAACCACAGTGGAATCAAGCTAGTTCTCAGTAACAAAGCATACACTAGAAATTACTCAAATATGTGGAAATTGTACAGCACACTTCTGAGCAACACCTGGGTCACAGAAGAAATTAAAAAGTTCCTACATCTCAATGAAAATGAATATATATCACAAAGAAATCCATGGGACACAGCAAAAGCAGTCCGGAGGGGCAAATTTATTGCCCTCAGTGCCCACATCAAGAGAATGGAGACAGACCAAGTAAATAATCTTATGATGCAACTAAAACTGCTAGAAAAGCAAGAAAAAAATTGAATCTAAAGTTACTAGATGGAGCAAGATAACCAAAATAAGAGCTGAATTTAATGATATAAAGACTAAGAAAACTAAAAATAAAATAAAAAGCTTTTTTTTAAAAATTAATAAAATTGATAGACCTCTGGCAAGATTAACTAAGAGAGGAGACCCAAATCAACAAGATCAGAGAGCCACAGGAAAAATTACAACAAATATGCAAGACACTCAAACAATCATAAATAATTATTTCCAGAATTTATACTCACTAATGTATACTCACCTAGCAGAAATGGATTTATTTTTAGAGAAATACAAATTGCCAAACTGAACCAAGAAGAAATGAATCAGTTAAATAAACCAATAACTTACAATGAGATAGAGAAAGCAATCAGAAGTCTTCCAATAAGGAAAAGCCCAGGACCAGATGGATTCACTATGGAATTCTTTAAGACCTTTAGAGAGGAACTAATGCCCATACTCCTCAAGCTCTTCCATGGAACAGAAGCAGAGGGAGAAATCCCAAACCCTCTATGAAGCCAATATCACACACATCCCCAAACCAGGCAAAGTTCCAACAAAAAAAGAGACCTACAGACAAATCTTTTTGATGAACACAGATGCAAGGCTCCTCAATAAAATTTTTGCCAACAGAATCCAGAAACATATCAAAAATAAATCATACATTATGATCAAATAGGCTTCATCCCAGAAATGCAGGGATTGTTTAACATACGTAAATCAATTAATGTAATCCATTGCATCAAAAGATCCAAGGTCAAGAGCCACATGATTATTTCCATTGATGTGGAAAAGGCTTTTGATAAAATACATCCATTCATGTTAAAAGCTCTGGAGAAAATTGGAATAGAAGGAACATGCCTTAAAACAATAAAAGCCATATATGACAGAGCAATAGCCTTATACTAAACGGGGGGGGGGGGGGCGGGGAAACTACAACCAATTCTCGTAAAATCGGGAACAAAGCAAGGATGCCCACTCTTTCCACCCCTCTTCAATATGGTTCTGGAATCCTTAGCCAGAGCCATAAGGCAAGAAAAGGACATTAAAGGGATATGCATAGGAAAGGAAGAAATTAAACTATCTCTATTTGCAGATGACATGATATTATACCTTAACAACCCCAAAAGCTCCACTCCTAAACTCCTAGAGCTTATAAACCACTTTGGCAAAGTAGCAGGATACAAAATTAACCCACAAAACTCAGGTGCCTTTCTGTACACCAACAGTATACAAGCAGAAAGGGAAATCAGGAAAACAACCCTTCACAATAGCCTCAAAAAAAAAAAAAAGATCTAGGAATTAACCTAACCAAAGAGGTAAAGGACCTATATACTGAAAACTATAAAAACCTAAAGAAATCAAAGAGGACACCAGGAAATGGAAAGGGCTTCCATGTTCTTTTTTTTTTTTTTTGTCAGTCGTGGGGCTTTAATTCTGGGCCTGGGCATTGTCCCTGAGCTCTTCAGCTCAAGGCAAGTGCTCTACCACTTGAGCTACAACACCTTTTCCTCCATGTTCTTGGATAGGCAGAATCAATATTGTGAAAACAGCCATACTGCCATAAATGATATAAATTCAACGCAATCCCCATCAAAATCCTAACAACATTCTTTACTGAAATAGAGAAAACAATCCAAAATTTCAGATAGAACAACAAAATACCTACAATAGCCAAAGCAATTCTAGGCAAAAAAAATAATGTGGAGGGATCATGTTACCAGATTTCAAGCTCTACTATAGAGTCATAATAACAAAGACAGGTTGGTATTGGCACAAAAACAGACCAGAAGACCAATGGAACAGATTAGAAGATTCAGAAATAAAAACACATACCTATATCCAGCTGATATTTGACAAAGGAACCAAAGACATACACTGGAAGAAACACAGCCTCTTCAACTATTGGTGCTGGGAAAACTGGGCAGCCACATGCAGAAAACTAAAAGTAGACCTCAGCCTGTCACCATGCACCAATATCAACTCAAAGTGGATTAAAGATCTTAACAGCAAACCTGAAACTCAAACTACTGCAGGACAGAGCAAGAGAAACACTTGAACTTCTTGAACAGAGTCCTAGGGTCACAACAAATTGGAGAGACACTCGACAAATAGGACTACCTTAAAATAAAAAAGTTTCTGCACAGCTGAAGGCATAGCTGCCAAACTAGAAAGACAACCAACTAACTGGGAAAAAAATATTTACCAACAACATATCAGACAAAGCCCTAATATCCATTATATATAGAGAACTCAAAAAACTAATCCTTCCCAAATCTAACAATCCATCATTAAATGGGCAAGGGAAGTAAAGAAACTTCTCAGACAAGATAAAAATGGCAAAGAAAAACATGGGGAAATGTTCATCATCCCTGGCGGTAAAGGAAATGTAAATAAACACAACCCTGAGATACCACCTTACCCTAATCAGAATGGTCCACATCCTAAAGTCAGTCAATGACAAACTATGGTGGGGATGCAAAGAAAGAGGAACCCTACTGCATTGCTGATGGGAATGTAACTAATACAACCACTTTGGAAAGCAGTCTGGAGGCTCCTCAGAAAGCTGAATGTAGACCTCCCACATATGACCCAGCCATACCACTCCTAGGCATCTATCCTGAACAGGAACCAGGAAACAAGGACTCATTCACCTCCATGTTCATTGATGCACAGTTCAAAACAGCCAAGATTTGGAAACCCAGATACCCTACTACAGTGAATGGATCCAAAAACTGTAGTACTTATATACAATGGAATATTATGCAGCCATTAGAAAGGACAAAATGATGACATTTGCAGGGAAATGGACAGAACTAGAGCAAATCAGTTTGAGTGAGGTGAGCCAAGAGCAGAGAGACAAACAGCACATGGTCTCCCTGATATGTGGATTTTAAATCCAAAAATGCAAGAAGATATGACAAAGTAAACAGGACTCAAGTAACAAAAGACATCTACTTAATTTGGTGTATATTTCTAAATGACTCCATGTTCTTGGCCTCATATATGGCATATATATGTGCACATCTGAGGGAAGTCAGGAGGAGGGCACAGAAACAGAGGGAAATGGGAAAACATACAATGGACGGGCCCATCAGCTACACTGGACATTGATGAAAGTGAACTAAGCAACTCAAGGGCACCGATGGGAAGGAGGGAATGAGAGGGAAAGAAATGTACACATCACCTAATGTGGAAGAAATAGCTGTATTGTTAAAGCTCATAGAATTCACAAACTTTATAGACCAAGATAATGACAATTTGCCTTATGAAGGATAAAAATGTGTTTGTGACTTTAACTAAATATCACTATCCTGCAATACTGTGAAGCTTGTGAAATTTATATAATCACTTAATCTCAACAAAAATTACTTTTAAAAAGATAAAGGTTTTTTAAAATTATAACAGCACAAACATCACTTTTTTTTTTTTCAAGATATACTGATGGGCTGGGAAGGTTGCTCAGTGGTAGAGCACTTGCCTTGCATGCATGAGGCCCTGGGTTCGACTCCTCAGCACCACATAAGCAAAAAGAAAAAAGCCGGAAGTGGCACTGTGGCTCAAATGGTAGAGCGCTAGCCTTGAGCTGAATTGCTGAGGGACAGCGCCCAGGCCCAGAGTTCAGGCCCCACGACCAGACCCCCCCCGCCTTCCCCCTAAAAAAAGATATACTGATATTGGGGCTTAAACTCAAGTTGTCACATTCCACTTGGCTTTTTGCTCAAAGCTAGTGCTCTACCATTTGAGCTACACCTCCAATTCTGGCTTTTGGCTGGTTAACAAGATAAGAGTGTTACAGACTTCCCTGCCTGGGCAAGCTTCAAACTGGAATCCCTAGACCTCAGCCTCTTGAGTAGCTATGATTCTAGGAATGAGCCACCAGCACTCACTAACCAACACAATTTGAAACTTCTAGTAAACTAAAACTGAACTAGTCAGACAGTGAGTAAGTACAAGGAATGGTACTAGAGCAAAGGATAACAGAACAAGTCATTCAAGGAGTATTAGGTGATCAAAAGTGCTGTCTCTTATAACTATTAGACATCTGCAGTTGACTATAACTTACAAACACCAACAAGTTACCAAAAAGTCTGCTCACTCTTCCTATAAATCTATATTCTAAATGTTCAGTTTCACCTAAGTAAGCAAGGAGGCCTCCCATTTAAATTCAAACATATATATTGGAGGACATGACAGTAGTTTTCCTTTATTTGTTTTTAAATAAAATCATCTAAGCAGCTTCTTTAAATTAAAACATCTGGGCCTTTTCCCCAAAGAAATGACAATCTGCCCAGAAAGATGCAATTTTGACAACAACTGCAATTATTCTGAAGCAGATTGGATCATGATCACTTTAAGAAGAGCTGGTGTACTACTTCTGATAACTATCTGCAAAATCCTGGAGGAGTGTTCATAAAAGACTACAGATGCATGTTAAGACATTTAATCTGTAACAAGAATGAATAATTTTCTTCCAATGTTGAAACTTTTGTTCCTTTTTTCTTTCTTTGGAGAAGTAATATTATGTTCCATTAACACATTAACTTTTCGTATATTTAGAATATGTTATTTATTCTGACTTATCATTTATTCATGAAGTACAATGCATTGAACACATTCATTTTTCATATATTTAGAACATTCACTCATTCATTCATGGTGGTACTGAGGATTGAACTACATTTGCTGTGCAAGCACTCTACAACTTGCGCCACAACCCTACCAGTTGCACCACAATTCTTCATATACTTAGAACATTTAAATCCTCTTTCTCTTGCCTGCCTTTATTTCTAATTTCTTCACTCTGTTCTGTCATGTACAAATTTCACTTGCTTGAAGGATACATAAACTTATCTTTTAATATACATATCATTATATATTAAATAAATACAAGACTTCCTTAATTATTAATTCAAAATAACTTGCTTTTTGTTGCCCCTCCTGGTCCTTGAATTCAGGGTCTATAAGTGCTACTCCTGAACTTTATTTCTCAAGGGTAGTACTCTACCACTTGAGCCACAGCTCTACTTCTGGCTTTTGTTTCTGGTTACTTGGAGTTAAAGAACCTCAGGAACTTTCCTGCCTCAGCTGTCTAGGAATTATGATCCTCAAATCTCAGCCTCCTAAGTAACTAGGGTTATAAGAGTGGCTAAGACTTGCTTTTTTTAGTATCAGTACTGGCACTGAGCTTTTGTGCTTAAGGCCAATGCTTCACCATTTTGAGGCATAGCTTTTGGTAGATAATTGAAGATAAGGTGTCTCAGGGACTTTCCTGTCCAGGCTGGCTTGGAATGGGATCCTTACATCTCAGCCTCCAAAGTAACAAGGATTATAAGCATGGCTAAGACTTGCTTTTTAATATGCAAATTTCAAGGTTTTGAGTGCAACTTCCCATATGTAGATTCAGTCAATACTTACGATCTATGGCAATTTTTTCTGTTCCATCCAGAGGATTAATAATTCCTGGAACAACCTCTCCAAAAGACAGGTGATCTATTCTATGAGAAAAGTTGTAGGCTAAGAGGCAAAAACAAAGACAATTGAGCAGAGAAATTTCATTATTCAAAAGTGTCTGTTACAAATCAGCTTAAATTCACTTGTTCTGAAGTTAAAACATTTACATTTGCATGTACAGTAATAAAGTACTTCAAGCATTATGTTGAGAGAAATGCACATAAATGAGAAATGGATGAGTATAAGTTGATCCCAAAGAAACCAGTTGTGTTTCTCCATTTCAGGTCCCTCTGTGGCAGGAGTAAATGCTTAGGCACCTGGCTACACAGAAAGGTACACATTAAGCACTGGCACAGTAACTGTTTAGATGTATGACGAAACCTTAGATCTATTAAAAAAAAAAAAAGCAACACAGAGATAACAAAGCAGCTTCTTGGCTATGCCACCAGGATGGCACAGGAGAGGGGGGTCAGGGTGCTTTTCTGTGACCAGTGGATCTGTGTGAGTCCCACTCAGAGCACTGGGTACAAGTAAAAACAACTACCCCACCAGCAGAGTGAGCTGACCAAAGGTCTTCACACTCAGACCAGGCCTAGGGCTGGAGAAATGCACTGGGAGTTGTGCCTCAGGCACAGTTCAAGAGCTAGATGAATTTCCCAGAGACTGCCAGCGCTCTGAGTACCTCACCCAGCCCAACGGGTACTGGTAAACAGGCATCCACAAGGGACTTCAGGCACAATAAGCTGACCAAGGGCCCACACAGCTGGGACCATACAGGGGTTGGGGAAAACAGCCAGTGGCTGTTATTCTGGTGTGGCCCAGGAGAAAACAAGGTGAGCACACAGCATGTGTGACTGACTGACACTGTCCTGGGGACTGCCAGACCCCAAAGATCACTGCCCAGCCTTGTGGGTACAAGTAAACACATGCCCACCAAGGGCTCTTGGCAGAGAGTGACCTACTCCACCTCTACCCAACAGCGGTCCCGAGCCCAGAGTCTTAACTGACCACTGGAGACCACACCTTTGCTGTACTCCAAGGGTTCTGGTAGATTGTGTTTTCATTTTCATCAGATTCTAAACCATTTTAGAACCTAGCCCTTAATTCTATACTGTTCATTACTCATTCAACAGTGCATTTTTCAGTCTATACACATTTGAATAAGCACAGATTTATCTATATATTATCTAGGTATATCCATATCTATACCTACATTATCTATATTTATAGCTATACTATATCCATATGGATATCTATCTATATATATCTATATATATAGATAGATATCTAGATACCTGTACTATATATATACAGATATATAGATATTGCAGTGTCTTTTGCTATAGTAGTCTAGTTTAATTCTATTAAGATCTGATAGAAAAGAAGGAATTGATTTTAACTTTTTTGTGTTTGCTAAGATTTGCTCTATGTGCCAAAAAAGATTGGAAAAACATTCCATAAGCTACTGAGAATGTTCATTGTGCAGCTACTGAATAAAACAGTCTATAGAAGTCTGCTAAGACCATCTAGTATATAGAATGTCATTTAGTGCCAAGATTTCTTTGTGACTCTGTCTGGATGATCTATCTGTTGGTGAAAGATGGGTATGAAAGTCTTCAACTATTGCTGCACTGGGGTCTAATTACTGCTGGTAAGTCCAGAAATGTTTATTTAATGTACTTATGTGGACCAGTATCTGGTGTGTACATGTTAATAATTGTTATCCTTCCCCCCCCCCTTTGTAGTTTCTTACTTTTATTAACAAGAAGTAGCCTTCTTTGTCTCTTCTGATTAATTTTGGTTTAAAGTTGATTTTTTCAGCCTGTCTGTGTTCAGGGCTCCTTTCCTTGTAATAATTTTTTCTGCCCTTTTGTTGTTTCTTATAAACAACAAACTCTTGACTATGGGGGGGGGGGGCTCACAGCAGTCCTGGTACTCAGATCCTGGGTACTGTTTGTAAGCTTTGTTGCTCAAGGCTAGCACTCTAGTACTTGAGACACAGCTCCACTTCTAGGTTTTTTGGTCGTTAGTTAGAAGTAAGAGTCTCATACTTTCCTGCCCAGGCTGGCTTCAAACTGTGATCCTCAAATAAAGATTACAGGTGTGTGAGCTATTGGTGCTGGCTTGCATCTTGTTTATTTTTAATCCAGCCTGCTGTTCTATGCCTTTGAATGGGAAAGTTAACACCATTAACATTTACAGTTTAATACTGAAAGTTACATCATATTTCACATCGGTTTGTAAGAGGCTCATTTCTTTCCTATTCCTCCTTTGCTAATCTACTCAACTAGTGGAGTTTATTGCTGTCTTTTCTATTTTCTTTTGTTTTCCTTTTCTGCATGTAAGATTCCTTCAAGATTCCACTGCAGTGCTAGTGTAGCACTAGCTTTAATTTCCTTAGCTTTAACTTATCATGGAAGGTACTCCCTAATATTCTAACTTATTCCAGTCTATTGTTTAGGGCTTCAATTGAATTTTTATTGGTATTATTTTTTCATTTCTTAAATATTTAGTTTGATTTTCCAACATATACACATCCATAAATGCAACACAGCATATAAACAACCAAGGACAAAGGTCCCATGAGCATCTCACATTATGTAGAAAACAGGTTTTGACAAAACTCAATATCCTTTTATTATAAGGGTTCAGAAGAAAAAATAAACTAAGAATAGAAAGAACATATCTCAGTATGATAAAGACTACTTATGATAAACCTATAGCCAATATCATACCAAATGGGGAAAAACTGAAATCATTTTCTCTAAAATCAGGAACAAGACAAGGGCAACCACTACCTTCACTCTTAAAAGAGTACTGAAATTCCTGGCCACAGGTATAAAACAAGACAAAAATTTAAAAGGGACTCAAACAGGAAAGAAGTAAAATTATCCCCATTCTCAGATTAATACAATTTTATATTAAAAGACCCTCAAGATTCCACCAAAAATTTCCTAAATCTAGTATTTTTCCCCAAAGAAAGAGGACATGAAATCAACATACAAAAATCAGTAACTTACCAACATTGAACATGCTGAGAAAGAAATGACAAAAGTAATTTCATTCACAATAGCCTAATAGAATACCTACATATAAACTTAACTAAGGTGGCAAAAGACTTCTGCAATGAAAAACCACAAAACCTTGAAGAAATTAGAGAAGACACCAGGAGGTAGAAAGACCTCCTATGCTCACAGATTTCCATAAACATCATGAAAACGGTCAGACTGCTAAAAGGAATCCACAGATTCAAGGCAAAAACCATCAAAATCTTAAAGTCGTTCTTTTCAGAAATAGGAAAATTAGTTCTAAAATTCATATGGCAACAAAAAACAGCTCAAGTCCCCAAAATAATACTGAGCTGAACAAGCAGTATTGGAAGATCACAATGTCAGACTTCCAATTCCACAATAAATAAAAGCATGGCACTGGCTCAAAAATAGACTCAAAAACCAATGGAACAGAAGACTTAGAAATATAGCCACACAGCAATAGCCTGCTGATCTGACAAAGAAGCCAAAACACATACACTGGAGTAAAGCCAATTTGGGAAAATTGTCTACAAGCAGAATACTGATACTAGATCTCTGTCTCTTGCCCTGTATAAAAATTAACTCTAAATGAATCAGAGATTTTCATTCAAGATCTGAAACCTTGAAACAACTACAAGAAAACTCTGGAAGATACCAGCATAGGTAATTATTTTCTGAGTGGGACTCCAATTGCCCAGCAAATAAGAGCATGAATTGATAATGGGACTCTCATCAATTTTAAAAAAGGTTCTGCACATCCAAAAAATTACTAGAATCAAGACAACCCACAGACTAAGAGATAATCTTCGCTAGCTCTTCAATGAATAAAGGATTACTATCCATAATATACCAACAGCTCAAAAAATTAACAGTAAAAGAACTAGTAATCCAACTAGTGAGGAAATGAACTGGACAGTTCTCATAAGAAGAAATATAAATGGCCAACAAAAACACAGAAACATACTCAGTACCCTCAGCCATAAAGCAAATACAAATACAAATCAAACCATACTGATGTGACCTCACCCCAGTCAAAATGACAATCAAGAAAACACGTGCTATAAGAGGATGTAGGGTAAAATCTTATACACTGTTGGTGGGAATATGAACTAGTATAATCATTATGGAAATCAGTATGCTAGTTCTCTAAGGACAGTACAACATTATACATTATTCACTATGCTTATGGTAGCTCTGTCACAATAGCTGAATTGTGGAATCAGCTGAGGTGCCCAACAGTATTGTACACACATATGATTACAATACATATGCATGTATATGTATGACACAGAATATTACTCAAATATTTGAGGAGTAGAGAAAGAGAGTAAAACGAGGGAAGGGGTAACAAATTAGAGAAGAAATGTAATCACTTCCTTATTTATGTAACTGTAATCCCCTGCTACATCTCCTTAACAATAAAATTAAAAAAAAAAAGAAATATATGTCAAGTGCACAAAAATGAATGGAACAACTGTATTTGATGTCGGTATAATTTGTGGAGGGGAAGGGGAAAAACAAGTCGTTTAAATAAGGATACAGGTGGACCTGTTGCTACAATGAGAAGTAAAAGTTGTCATGTCAAAAATGAACTTTACAACTTGGGGGGTGGGGGGGAAGGACTGGGTGGGGGAAGGGAGGATGGGAAGGGATGGGAAGGGTAAACAAAGGAGGAGGCTACAATGCTTGATAAGAAATGTACTCACTATCTTGCCCATGTAATTGTAACCCCTCTGTACAGTATTTTCACAATAAAAAAAAATAAAAAATGAATGGAACAGAAAAGCAAACATGATGTTGAGAGAGATAAGCCAACCTCAAAAAACTAAATATGCCATGTTGTTGTTCTTTGTGGAAGTAGGCCTAAAACGATGATTATCATAATAATAAAAGAACGGGAATGTAAAAGTGGAACTGTCTGAGGATAAAAGGTGAGAGAAGCAAAGGAAAAGTTACTGAAATACAAAGAGGAAAAAACTGTTTCATATTATGTATGAGTATAGCAGAATGAAACCCACCAAACACTGATGGAAGGAAGAGGAAGGAGAGGAGGAATGGCAATACACTGGAGGGAGAGAGCTGTTCATACAGGGAACTCTCATAATGAAACCCTCTCATGGGATTAATGTATGCCAATTCAAAATAAAAAAACAGATTCAGTTAAAATGCTGTCTCAAATGTTAAAGTTACGCACAAACCAACTTCAATGAAATGATATAGCATTCAATCCTGATAGCCAAAACAATAAACAAAAAACCCTTTCCTAATCTTCAACACCATACAGTAAGGAACAGGACTGTTGTTAGAATTACTGGGCAACATTCACATAGCCAAATATTGAAAATGATCACAGATATTTTCAATATATACCATCTCTATGACCAAATTGATTTTCATAAATTTATTGTTTGCATTTTCAAAAGTAAATTTTCAACAGTTTCATAACCCTCATTACATCAAACCAACTTTATGTGTATATGGCAACATGTCCACATTTAGGCTTAGAAGCTGAAGTAAACCTCTGACACATTCTCTTTATTATATAAAAATTGGAACCATCATTACACCAAACTAACTTCATGTGTGTATGGGAATATGTACATCTGGGCTTACAAGCAGAAATAAACTCTGACACATTCTCTTCATTATCTACAAAAATTGACTGCACTATTCACAAGGGAGAACAAAATATTTTTCCCCCTAATCTTTGCAATTTGGAGCTAGAATTAAATGAAAATACAGGTGGCTTAAAGAATGAAAGGAAAGACATTTATTTTTAAATAGCTTACTTTTAAAGCTTTACATTATTTCTGCAAGAAAAAAAGCACACATGCATGCACATGTACACACACACACACATACACACAGCCATCCACAGTGAAAGAAGCAGTTCACAAGTGCTTACAGTCATGGTTGACCAGTGCTGCCAAGTGTGCGTGCCCTCGAGGATGTGGAATTGCCCTGAAAGGAAGAAAATGATTTGAAAGTAATACCATTCAAATGTCCAACTAATTCCCATGAGAAAGTGGATTTGCAGCCTAAGCTGCACATTGTTTGGAGTACAACATAAGAACCTACATGTCCTTCCTGTCATCTCAGCAATATGATCAAATAGGAATGGCATTTTTTTTTCTGTAGAGAGCCAGATAATCAGTAATTTTAAAGCTTTATGGGCCAATATACAAAATCAAGCTACTACAGTTTCCGAAGAACAATATAGATTGCCCAACCTTCCATTGAAAAAACTCCAAAACTAATAACTGACAACTATGTTTGACAATAGTCAATACACACTAATTAGTTTTGCAGGAAAAGTACATTTTGCTTATTGAGGTTCAAAGCTAAAATTTTTTGTTTTCAAAAGTGATCTCTAATGATTATCTGTTTAGTAGTGACCACTAATGAATATGTCATGTTTGAAAATGTAAATCCATGCATGTTTGATTTGAATTGTTTAGAAGACATTTCAAGTCTACAGAGTCTTCTTTATCCTCACCATTAATGATATCCTTACAGTACAGATTTAACTCTCAGCAAAGGCAGAATTTCTTCAACTGAATTATTAATGAGTTTAGAAAATAAATATTTCGGGCTGGGAAGGTGGCTCAGTGGTAGAGCGCTTGCCTTGCATGCCTGAGGCCCTGGGTTCGATTCCTCAGCACCACATAAGCAAAAAGAAAAAAGCCGGAAGTGGCGCTGTGGCTCAAGTGATAGAGCGCTAGCCTTGAGCTGAAGAGCTGAGGGACAGTGCCCAGGCCCAGAGTTCAGGCCCACGACCGGACCCAAAAATAATAATAATAACTATTTCAAAAATTAAGTTAAAATTCAAATTAGATCACTCTATAGTTCTGACACTTGTTAAAATCCTTCAGGATGAAGCCAAATGGTCAGAATTCCTCTACATATTTTCTGTTATATTGTATTGTTAACCAATCAGACTGGAAATCTAGCCCCAGGGAATTTTCAGTAGAGAACTGGCTGTTCTGAGAATTGATAGGAGTGGAACTGAGCACAGGTGACTCACACCTGTAAGCTACTTGGGAGGCTAAGATCTGAAGTTTATGGTCAAATCCATCCTGGGCAAGAAAGTCCATGAGATTGTTACTTGGGAGGCTAAGATCTGAAGTTTATGGTTTCAAATCCATCCTGAGCAAGAAAGTCCATGAGACTGTTATCCCCAATTAACTACCAAAAAACCATAAGAGGTGTGGCTCAAGTGGTATAGCAATACATTGAGTGAAAAAGGTACAGACAGTGCCCAGGCATAAATTCAAGCCTTGGGACTGATATAAAAATATAAAATAAAATAAAGGGTTCTGAGGGCTGGGAAGGTGGCTTAGTGGTAGAGTGCTTTTGCCTTGCATATATGAAGCCCTGAGTTCCATTCCTCAGTGCCACATAAACAGAAAAAGCCAGAAATGGCACTGTGGCTCAAGTGGTAGAGTGCTAGCCTTGAGCAAAAAAAGCTCAGGGATAGTGCCTAGGCCCTGAGTTCAAGCCCAAGGACTGGCAAAAAAATTAAAATTAAAAAATAAAGGTTCTGAGCCACAGGTGTTCTATATGCCTGTAATCCCATCTACTTGAGAAGCAGGAAAATGACAAGTTCAAATCTAGTCCAGGCAAAGATAACAAGTCTCTATCCAAAGAACAAACAAACAGGAGAGACCTGTAGTGTGTGGATCAAATGTTATACGGCATTATCTAGCATGTGTTTAAGGTCTGGATTTCAATCCCCAATAACAGTCAAAGAGAAAGCACAGTGTTTGATATTTTTTCCATAACTTTTACCTAATTCAGCTTCATACTAGACACTAATTATTTCTAACTGTATCAAAATAATTCATCTAGAGCTAATCAGGGACTATATAGCTTGATGTGAGTAAGAAGTTAGATAAAACCAAAACCTAAAATAAATATTTTAATTTTAAAATACCTAAAAACTAAGAAAATGAACATATTAATGAAATACTGCAGTAAGAGCTCTCTGGCTACTTTTAAAACTTACGAAGAAACAGATTTTAATTCATATGTGCCTGCAGATCATTACCTTAATATACAAAATAACCTGACACTCCAAATTTCAATCTTCAGACATCAGAAAAACACATCAGTTTAGGCAGGCATTCAGTAGTTAGCTGTATGTTATCTGTTTAGGAAAGAATTTGCTTTTAATGAAGCTGCAACCTTGTCTAAGGAACTTTCATAAGGGAAAAGGACATACTTGCCCACAGTTATGTGAAAATTCCCTGCTACTTTATTAACGTTGAGATGGCCACGGATTCTGCATGCGTCTGGAGACTGTGACAAGTCATCTTCCCTACAAAACACATTGATGTTGCTTGAACACATTTAAGAGTTGCCATTCTATGCTGCAAAAACTGCACACCACAAAAGATAAAAGGTGCTATAGATCAATTTTTAGACAACATCCTGAAAGGCAGCCGTGGAAGCAGCCATTGCCTGAACTTTGCAGTTATAAGAATCATACCTCTATGAAATGTTGAGACTTTACATTATGATTACACATCTATACATACAAATCTAAAATGTTCCAGTACTTTAAATCTAACCAAAGGTCTAAGCCCAGGGAAAGAATGAAAATAAAAACAAAAGAGTTATTCTGGCTGGGTGCTGGTGGCTCACACCCATAATCCAAATTATTCAGGAGGCAGAGATCTGAGGATTATGGTAACAAAGCCAGCCATGGCAGGATAGACTGTGAGACTCTTATCTCCAATTACCTACCAAAAAATCTGGCTCAAGTGGAAGAGTTCCAGCCTTGAGCAAAAAGCTAAGAGACAGCATTCAAGCTCTGAGTTCAATCCCTAGTATTTGCACCAAGAAAAAAAGGAAAAAAATTTTGAGAATATACTTTATAATAATCCTAATTTTCAAAAAAATCACAAAATTTAAGAACTAAAATATTGTCATAATTCTTATTTTCTCCTTCAAAGGAAAGTAGACTCATAAAATTAAAACAATACTAAAAAACAAGTAGACTAGTTTACATTTAAGATGATAGCAAATGGGACTAGTTTCCAGCACACAGGTAACATTTCCATGACAACTCACCTGGGTGGAAGTGCGGTGGATGAACTTTTAAAAGCACTTTTGAATATTACATCCTGAAGAGAATGCTCTTCTTGTAGCCTACTCTGAATCAGCTGCAGCATCCTAAGTTTGACACAAACCATAATTTAGAAACACAGAAAGGCATCCAGAGATAGCCAAGGTAGATAGCCAATAATAAGCATACTGTTTCAACCAAACCAGCTAGTCACAATGATTTAGCTGGTTTGGTTGAAACAGTATGCTTATTATTATAGGGTTTTATTCCAAATGCAAGTGTAACCAGTTTTCTCTGGTTATTTCCATGAAAGCAAGAAAACAGAAGAAGGGTAGACAGAAGTTTAGTAGCTGGGTCTAGCCATCTGTCAGAATCACTGGTACTGGACATGTAGCAAGGGCTCTGCTTATCTAAGAATTTAAGTTCATTTATTATTCATGCAGATGTACTTATTAAATCCTTACATTTTGCCAGGCATCGAATTGTATGCTGCAGATAAAAAGTGTATGTTGCAGATAAAAAGAATAAGACAAAGTAACAGCTCTATTATAGGCTTGCTGGACTTTAAGTAGTAGACCAATGGGGAAAAGCCATCTCACAAGCATCTTATCATTTGTGTTTTTGTGTGTGTGTGTGTGTGTGTGTGTATGCTGGTACTGGGGCTTTAACTCAGGGCTGGACACCATTTTTTGGCTTTTTTGCTCAAGGTTGGAGGTCTACCACTTGAGCCACAGTTCTACTTTTGGCCTTTCTGCTGCTTAACTGTAAATAAGAATATCAACAGAACTTTCTGCCTGGACTGGCTTTGAACTGCAGTTCTCATATGTCAGCCTCCTGAGTAACTAGAATTAGGGCAAAGAGTCACTGGCACCTGGTATTCTTATAATTTTTGAAAGCAGAATGAACATTTAAAGCAAAGGACGATTAAAAAAAAACCAAGTATATATTTTTATCTCCCTTAATATTATCTTTTAAAAAAGATTATTCATTATTTGTACATGTGGGAAGGGAATATTATGATATTTCTACACTTGTATACAAAGTACCCCAATCAAACTCACCCCTCCATAGCTCTGTCAATCTCTACTTAACTGTGTATCTTTGAACATGAAATGTATATGGTAGGAGAAAAACAGAGAAATCAGGGCAGTAACTCTATTGCTGATGAGATGATAAGAGTGGACACACATCATCACTTGTGTGTCAATTCACAAGACATATCACACCAAGAATGAACTCTTAACATAAATTATGGCTGTATTGCAGCATGTCCATAATGAGAGGTAGATAGGGCCTTACTTTCTGCTCAACTCTGCTGTATACCTAAAACTATTCTAAAAAAAAAAGAACATAGTACAACACAAACACACACACACACACACAAACTTGAAAAAAATAATACATTAAGTATTTTCTAGATATGTAAGTAAGTAGGAGATAAAATACATATATGCCACACAATTAGTACACAGGTAAAATAGGCCTTTAAAAAATTTTTAAGTGCCGGGCGCTGGTGGCTCACGCCTATAATCCTAGCTACTCAGGAGGCTGAGATCTGAGGATCACGGTTCAAAGCCAGCCCAGGCAGGAAAGACCATGAGACTCCTATCTCCAATAAACCACCAGAAAACCGGAAGTGGCGCTGTAGCTCAAGTGGTAGAGTGCTCGCCTTGAGCTGAAGAGCTGAAGGACAGCGCCCAGGCCCAGAGTTCAAGCCCCACGACCGACCAAAAAAAAAAAAATTAAGTATATTATTAACTTAAATTAAGCAATCTTTTCTTTTCTTTTGGTGCTGGTACTGGATCAAGGCCTTAGGTTTTTCACTTGAGCCACACCTCCACTTCCAGTGTTTTGGCGGTTAACTGGAAAGAAGGGTCTTAGGAATTTCCTTGCCTGATCTGGCTTCAAGATCCACAGATCTGAGCCCAGCTAGGATTATGGATAAGCACACACTCTTCCTAAGAGTATGTGCTTTTAAACACAAAGGTTTTTAAAAGTAAAGAAGAAAACAACCAAGCAAAATCAATATACAGGGCTGGGAATGTGACTTAAGTTAGAGTGCTTGCCTAACTAACATGCATGAAGCCCTGAGCTCGATTCCTCAGTACCACATACACAGAAAAAGCCAGAAGTGATGTCGTGGCTCAAGTAGTACAACACTAGCCTTGAGCAAAAGAAACTCAGGGACAGTGCCTGGGCCCAGAGTTCAAGCCCTAGGACTGGCAAAAAAAAAAAAAAAAATCCATACGCAGCATGATCATGTACTTTTGTAAGAACTAAATCCCAACGGGGGCTTAGAAGCTATTCAACTGATTCACAAAGAAATGCTAGTTCAAATATTAATTTTTATCCATTAACTGCAAAAACCAATTTTCAATTTAGTTATACTAATTTTGGGCCCATATGTATTTAAGCTATATAAGTAAAAGAATATTTGGGAGGATATATGTCACTCTGTATCACAATATTAAATTAGCTATCATCTGAAGCAGCATTGTCTATTTCTAGAATTTTCCATACTTAAGTATTTAGAACACATACATAAAGAATTAGGGTTCAGAGGCTAACTACAATGGCTCCTTCTCAAAAGCCTAGTTATTTGAAAAGTAGGGCATGGGAGGATGTTTGTGGCCAGAACAAGTAAAAAGTTACCAACATCTCCTCTCTCCTCACAAGCCTGTGGTGGGGAGCCAGCCTGTAGTCCAAGGACAATAACAGGATCTGAAGTTGGCCCCAAAGGAAAATGCAGGATTGTATCCAAAATGTAAATAAATTAAAAGGGCTAGGTGAGTGGCTCAAATGGCAGCCTGGCCAACCTGGCCAGCTCAAGGCCTCAAGGTAAAATCCTAGGACTGCCAAGAAAAATAACTAAATAAAAAGAATTAGATACAGCTGTTCACCAAGTATTGATTTTTTAAAATGAGACTTGTGGAAGCAATCAAATGTCCATCAATAAGAATACAATTAGTCAATCTATAAAATGGACTTTCTTAATCTATAACATCCCATTAGGTGGAAAAAAATGTACAAGGAATGGATAGAATGATCCAATTTGTATTAAGAAAATAACAAGAGAAATATATTTTCAAACAAATAGGAAGAAATTACATACATTCAGAAAATATGTAGAAAGCTACATTAGGAAGTTAACTCTGACTTAGCACCAGTCAGGTAATAGTTTATAGAGAAAAGAAAGCTTTCCTTTTCCTTTATCTCATTCTATTAAAACTCAATTTCAAACAATCTTTACATATTATTTTCACAAATCACTTGAATAGCTCACTTTAAAATTTATGAATCAGGGGCTGGGAAGTTGGCTCAGTGGTAGAGCGCTTGCCTTGTATGCCTGAGGCCCTGGGTTCAATTCCTCAGCACCACATAAGCAAAAAGAAAAAAGCCAGAAGTGGCTCTGTGGCTCAAGTGGTAGAGTGCTAGCCTTGAGCTGAAGAGCCGAGGGACAGCGCCCAGGCCCAGAGTTCAGGCCCCACGACCGGACCACCCCCCAAAAAACAAACAAAAAAATTTATGAATCAAATTAGAGAAAAAGATTATGTACGACTTTCCTAATATCTGATAATTTCTAGTATTTCTAATATTTTGATAATTCAATCAGAGAATCACGCTAGACTACAGTTTACAATAGATAAAACAAGATTAAAGGTTTGTATTTCTATAGATGCTAGTAGTTTAGCTTTACCTCTGCCATTCTTTTTGCTGTGGTGAAAGTTCAAATATTACCTGAAATGAAAGAATACACTGTCACTAGCAACGTCAAATCTCCTTAGATTTCCACACATCACAATTTTTTAAAAAATTGCGTGCGTGCGTGCATGTGTGAGATGGGATTTGAATTCAGGGCCTGGCCCAGGTTGGCTTCAAACCATGATCCTCAGGTCTCGGCCTCCTTCGTAGCTAGCAGTAAGATTAATGTAAAGTGCTACTAAAACCAGACACACCTGATAGGCATTCACCTTCGATAGACCAAACTATACATTTTAATGGAATTTTACTCAAACATAACAAAGAAATTTTACCAAGCATGCATAATTCCCTGATTGGTTGCCTACATTTATCAGAATGAATGCAAGTCGGCAATCTATTGCATGTACAAAATGATATTTTAGGATTTAAAAATCATCTAACTGATGCTATCATGATTATCATGGAGGAAAGTTGAAGAGACAAATGAAATAATGAAATTCAAGCAGCGAAAGCCCCAATTCCTGCTAGGAAGCAGCAAGAAAAAATCCTTTCCTCAGCCAAACCTGCATTTGCATGGCAAGCTGGCTTCCCATGAGCCACAAGGGCAGTCATGGCAGACACAACCCATATATTCTTGCTAAAAAAAAAAAAAAAAAAAACTAACAGTTTGCCCGGCACTGGTGGCTCATGCCTGTAATCCTAGCTACTCAGGAGGCTGAGATCTGAGGATCACGGTTCAAAGCCAGCCCGGGCAGGAGAGACCGTGAGACTCCTATCTCCAATAAACCACCAGAAAACCGGAAGTGGCGTTGTAGCTCAAGTGGTAGAGCGCTCGCCTTGAGCTGAAGAGCTGAGGGACAGCACCCAGGGCCCAGAGTTCAAGCCCCATGACCAACCAAAAAAAAAACAAAAAACTAACAGTCACTCCACAGTATAATAAAAATAAACTAAGAGTGACAGGAAATGGAAGCAAAAATACAGTGGTAAAAGTAAATGGTTATTCTTTTTTATGTGTTAGTACTAGGGCTTGAACTTAGGTGCTGTTGCACAGCTTTTTCACTTAAGACTGATGCTCTATTCTGCTTTTTGGTGGCTAACTAGAGAGCTAAGAGTCTCATGGACTTTCTGGCCTGGCTGGCTTTGGACCAGGATGCTTAGATCTCAGCCTTCCGAGTAAGTAGGACAGGAGGTATGAGCCACCATTGCCTAGCTCAATTATTCTTAATAAAAAAATGTATAGTATATATACCAAACTAATAGTCAATTCAAAGTGATTCCAAGGGTTCAATTCCTAAAGCATATTTTTCAATCACTATGTAAACCAAACTTACTGGTTCATAAATAAGACCATCTGCAGAAGCAACCATTGTTTCTGCTAAATCCAATACATCTGCTCCAACATCTGTAGGAAAAAACAAACAAACGTTTCACAACCTATGTTCAGATCAAAACTGTATCTGACGTAAAGCAAATTAACAAAACTAATAGAAAACTCAAAGTGTATAGTATCACCTTTCTATACTGCTTACTGGTTCAAAAATTAAAACAATAGCACTATATAGCTTTGGTACATAGTATTCTGAAAGTCAGAAAAAAATTATTTTTCTTGCTCTAAAAAATAAATGACATGGAGTCCCAGGGTAAAAAAATGCAATTCTGACTGAATTAAAGAGCTTTGCAAAAATTGGCAAAAACCTAATCACAAGCACTAAATAAATGAACAAAATATAAGCTACAAAATTTTTTTCAGAGATTAAAAGAAATCTTAGCTGATGCTTTTTCAAATTAAGTCAAGCCAGATACCAGTAGCTCACATCTGTAATCCTAGCTACTTAGGAGGCTGAAATCTGAGGATGGCAGTTCAAAGCCAGTCCAGGCAGGAAAGTCTGACACTCTAATTTCCAATTAACCACCAAAGAGCTGGAAGTGAAAGCATGGTTCAAGTGGTACAGTACCAGCCTTCAGCAAATAAGCCAAGTGAGAGCTGAAGGCCTTGAATTCAAGAGTCAGAACTAGCACACACACCAAAAAAAAAAAAAAAAGCAATTTCAACTTTATTTTGAAAAAACTAACACTGTAATGTCAGACAACATGATATATTTGCCATTAGTGTTAACTGAAAATTTAAGTATTAAGGTAATACTGTTTTTCTTAAAACTACTAATAGAAGGAAAATTTTTTAAAAGAGCTATAAGTGTTCTATGATGAGTTCTATTAGAAATTGGGTAAAACTATTTCATACTAAGTATTTTGCCTGAATATATGAATTCTTCATTTCAAATACTCAAAGTAGTAACTCCAAGGACACTTTTCATGTAGAAGTGCCACCATTTTGGAAAGTAATACTTTTTTATCTCTGTAACAAATAAGCATTTTTCTATTTGCCTCAGAACAACTAAGTAAAGATAGTGAAGGAATAAAATGAGTAACTCATCACAATTCACTCTGAAGTACTTTCAAATAAAAGAGAGGAAGTGTCAGGAAAGGTGGTCACTTGAACCAGTGAAACAAGATTATGCTTCTGAAGGTATATGTAACTCTGTTATACCAACAAGAACAATATAGCCTAACTTCAACTCTCATTGACAATTTTCCTCATTTTCTTACATTTTATTTTTTATTTTCTTTTGGGGGGGTCCAGTTGTGGGGCCTGAACTCTGGACCTGGGCGCTGTCCCTCAGCTCTTCAGCTCAAGGCTAGCGCTCTACCACTTGAGCCATAGCGTCACTTCCAGCTTTTTTCTTATGTGGTGCTGAGGAATCAAACCCAGGGCCTCAGGCATGCAAGGCAAGCGCTGTACCACTGAGCCACCTCCCCAGCCCTTTCTTATATTTTAATTCACTAATGTTAGACCTCTATCTTTCTCTTTCTATCACTCTGTCACTATTTATACTAGTACTGGAGCTTGAACTCATGTCCTTTCACTGACCTGTGGCTTTTTCATTCAAGGCTGGAGCTCTACCACTTGAGCTACACCACTACTTCTAGCTATTTGCTGGAATAGTTTAACGGACTCTCCTGCCCTGGCTGACCATGAACCTTGATCCTCAGATCTCAGCCTCCCAAGTAGCTAGAATTACCAGCATGAGCCACCAGCACCCAGCTAAATCTTCCTTTTATTGTCTGGTTGTTTATTGTTTTGTTTTTTTTGGGGGGGGGTCAGTCATGGGACCCTAACTCAGGGGCTAGGTGCTGTCTCTGAGCTTCTTCACTCATGGCTAGTGCTCTACCACTCTGAGCCACAGTGCCACTTCTGGTTTTCTGGTGGATATTAGAGTTAAGAGACTCATGGACTTTCCTGCCCCAGCTGGCTCCAAACCACAATCCTTAGATCTCAGCCTATTGAGAATCTAGGATTGCAGGCATGAGTCACCAGTGCCTGGCTAAATCTTTCTTTATGGCTACGGAATTCACTGAATTGAAACTAAAGTGAGACAATATGTACCATTAAGCAACATGATAAAATATTTAAATATTCAAAAGGAAAAAATGTTAAATTACAGTGTTTTGAAGTTCTACTGCAACTGTCTGAACTACAGTACATGGAGAAAGGCCAAGCTTACAGTACTTACACTGACACTTCATGGCAACAGTAATGTCTATATTGATTCTCAATTTACTAAAAGACAAAAAGATAAACATTAGAACCTAGCAATTAGCAAAAGTATGAGCAATAGAAATCAATCTACCTATGGAAGTCTTGGATTTCAAACAAAAAAGGTACTAATTACAACTCAGATTGCCTTTGCTATAATAAAAACAAAGGCATTACTAAAAACTTCTATCTAGTGATTACTTAACAAATCTTGTTAACTTTTCACATCTTTAACACATTACTTTTTAAACCTCAGGGTAGCAGCTCTAAAATAGATAATTCTGAGAAACTCAACAATATCTAAACTTCTGTGCATTTAAATATTAGATAAAACATTCCTTTAAGAATAACAAATCAAGGGCTGGGAGGGTGGCTTAGTGGTAGAGTGCCTGCCCTGCACGCATGAGGTCCACATATGCAGAAAAAGCCGGAAGTGGTGCTATGGCTCAAGTAGTAGAGCACAAGCCTTGAGCTAAAGAGCTGAGGGACAGCGCCCAGGCAAAATTCAGGCCCCACAACTGACCAAGAGAGAGAGAGAGAGAGAGAGAGAGAATAGCAAATCAAGGAAGTGGCAATGTGGCTCAAAGTGGCAGAGCACTAGCTGTGAGCCCAAAAGCTCAGGGACAGTGCCCAGGCCCTGAGTTCAAACCCCATGCCTGACCAAAAAGAATACCAAATCAAGAATTAGGTGTAAATTTTTCTCTAGCTATCATAAAAACCATTAAAATAGATTTAATCTATGTGATGTAGAGAGCAATAAAATGGGTGGATATGGTCCTTCAAGAGAACCATCAGACAAAAAAAAAAAAGAGAGAGAGAGAGAACCATCAGTGTGCAGAGCAGCAAAAATGCACAGCAGAAAATCACATATCCATTAAGGGGACATTTCAGAAACTAAGTCTGGATATCTCAAGATAATTACAACTAAACCACCAGGAAAAACAAACAAACAAATAAATCTGATGCTTACAGATCTACAGGCGTTTTAACAAGATCCAATCAATGCTTTGCTCCCAAATCAGTAATTGAAATAAAGTTAATTTTCAAACAGCAAAATGAAATATCCCTTCCAAGTAAAACAATCAGTATAAATAATGAGTTCTGAGCTTCTTATCCAAGCTGAGTTCACTCTGAAGGACTTTCATATGATTCCAGTTAGGAATTACACATTTTGGAGGCCTTAATAGTCTTAAAAGTTGCCTACAATTCACACTGTACTCAAAATAATTCCAGTGTGCACTTTCAGGACATCTGTAGGAGACAGAGAAGAAGGCCAAGTACCAGACTTCTAAGTATGGACCCTGTGCCTGTATTCATGTGGTGACATAGATAAGTACCTAAGACCATACTTGGAAATTTTTAATTTAGTGCTAAAAACAAATGAAATAACTACTACAACCAATCCCAAATAATTAATGCAATCTAGAAACATATTCATGTTACAGATGAAGGAACTAAAGCCACCAATAAATCCTTTATATGGCTTGACCAAGGATACACAGCAATCTTACAAATGTTGATTTACCTGCTAAGTCCCATGAAAAAGAAAACAAAAGAGTCCTACCATTATTATTTCTATCTCACAGAACAGGTGTTGAAACACATGCAGATGTGACTTAGTAAATTCCCTAAAGTCATGGAGTAAGTAAAAGGAAGAACTGGATTGAATTCATAGCTAAAACTCTGCAATCCTAATATTATAAACCTGCTACCTGCAAAAAAATTTCAAAACAGCTTTTTACTGGTGGCTCACACCTATAATCCTATAATAGTTACTCAGGAGGCTGAGATCTGAGGATCACAGTTTAAAGTCAGCCCAGGCAGAAAAGTCAGTGGAGACTCTTATCTCCAATTAACCAAGAAAGCCAGAAATTGAGCTGTGGCTCAAGTATTAGAACTCTAGCCTTGAACATCAGGGACAACACCTGGGACCTGAGTACAAGCCTCAGGACCAACACACACACAAAAGCAGACAAAAAACAAAAAACAATGTTTCAATACACAAAATGAGAATTTCTCATAAATAACCTCATATTTATTTCTCATAAATAACATAAATTTCTCTAAAATAACCTAACAAAAGTAGAGCTTAGGTATTGTGAGATACAGTTACCTAGAAAAATCTTTGTCTACTTCATATTCATACTTCATCCATGTATCTTGATATACTGAGAATTCCATTATTGTTAGCAAAGCCATAGTAGTAAACGCTATCAGAGAAACTGAAAAACAATAACAAATAAGATTAAAACAATAAAAATTTTAAACCACAAACTCTTTAAGTGAAAATAAAATTAGTAAAAAAAAAAATCTACAATTGCCAGTTCATAAACACAGTAAGTTTTCTCACCAATTTTATCACAGATTGTTCTAAAACATCTCAAAAATGAAATTTACTGAGCACAAAAAGGAAGAAAACATTTGTATACTGAAAATGATTTTATTTCTTCCATTTTAAGGGTATCCCACTAAATAAAAATTTTACAAAGCACAAGTTTTCTACTTTCTTAAATGTAGCAGTGTCAGACTTGATAAATGATGAAAACAAACATGTTTACAGTACAAACTGAAAATACTTTCTTATTAAGAAAAACACATCCACCAGGGTGCAATTGTCTCATGACCAATTCAAAGGTTAGTGTAGGTAAGCCCTTGAGACTCTTATCTCCAATTAACCACCAAAAAAGCTGAAAGTGGCTTAAGTAGTAGAGAACCAGCCTTGAACAAAAAAGCTAAGGGACAGTGCCCAGGCCCTGAGTTCAAGCCCCAGTACTAGCAACAAACAAAACAGAACTATAACAAAAATGAACAACAATGAAAAGTACACCCATGCTCATAGCCTAATTCAAAACAAAACATTAGCCTATGCTCTGAGATCCTGAAAAGCACAATAATCTGTATGCCAGAAACTAAAATAGCATTCCCAAATCCAGAACATTCTTTTACTTTGCAATCTCCTAAGCACATTACCTCATTCATAACTTGAGACCAAAAAATCTGATAAAAAAAAAAGCAATTCTCATATAACAAACCATTTGATTTCATTGAAAATGATCTGTTTTCTTAACAAATACAATGAAAATTATTGTTGCACAATCACTGGGGACGGGAAATAATAAGCATACCATTACACATTTTATCCAACAAAATGTCAATCTTCTCTAGAACTTTGCACTCATTCATCACATGGTACGAAATACTATGAAATATCATTACCAACCGTCTTTGAAGAGTAGTTTATCAACTACTTCTATCTGTACCAGGCACCACTCTAAACATTTTGCATACAAATGTTTAACAGATACTGTTAAACTAGATACTAGAAAGCAAATAAAGATGTCCCCATTTCACAGAAGAAATTTAGCAGAAAGACTGAAGTAATTTCCTCAAATTAAAGAGAAGTATCATTTAAATCCAAAGTCTGGATCTACAATCTAAACTCAATTCTGTTTACATATGACAATCTCTTAATGTAATTACACTGAAGCTTCAAAGCATTGGAATAAGCACTGCTGACTGCACAGACAGGCCTGTGTTGGATGCCATGTAGAATATAAGTATGTATAAAACTAGGGCAAATCATGACATGGACAAAGACCGCCCACCAAGTAACTGCAAACACTGGGCACTAGTAGCTCACACCTATAATTCCAGGTACTCAGGATCACAGTTCGAAGTTAACTGGGGCAACAAAGTCCATGAGACTCTTATTACCCAATGAATCAGCAAAAAGCTGGAAGCAGAGGTGCGGCTCAAGTGGTTCAGTATCACCCTTGAATGAAAAAACTAAGGGACAATATGCAGGCCTTGAGTACAAGCCCTCCAGTACTGGTACAAACACACATAATAATAAGCAACAAAATAAAATTTAAAAAGTAGCTGCACAAGTCACTGATGGTGGTTGATAGCATCGTTTACAAATTTTAATACCAGCTCACCTGTACCCCCACTGGCTGAGGTCTCTACATAGCTTTCGGGAACCTTTGGAAAGGCATCCAATTCTTTCACCAAATTTAAGGTTTTTTTCCGATTCAGTCGCCTCATCTTCAGGAAAACCTTCTTCTTCCTTCATATAGTCATGCTAAGGAATAAAAAAGTAAGCAATAAATGAATCTGCAAAGAGACAGAACATTATTTGAAGAGAATTGAAAAATTCCTTTAGAATGACTTGGTGTTTCCAAGTCTCCTTGAAAGAACAAGCAAAACAACACATAAGACTTAGCTACCCATTCCAACCCTGACAAAAAAGGTAATTTGTACATGCACATACGTTTTGTATCAAAACAAAACAAAAACAACAGAGACAATCATTTTAATTAATGTATACAAATTAAAATCAATGTGATTATGTTTTATGTAGTTGCTTATATCAAAATTACACCTTGCCAATAGTGGACCACAAGTAAGTAAAATAGCCTAACAAGAACACAAATATAGGCCAGGCATTGTTGGCTGTTGCCTGTCATCCTAACTATTCAGGAGTCTGAGATCTGAGGATTCAGGTTCAACCCCAGCTCAGGCAGTTTGAAGTCTCTGACAATCTCATCTTCACTTAACCAGCAAAAAGCTGACAGGAGCCAGCCCAAATTCAAGCCCCATTAGCAGCACTAAATATAAAAATTTTAAATGCTTTAAATCTTTTGAGGGGAGGAGGGGAAGCCACACAAATGGAGGAAGGGTGAACAAATGCAGGCATGGAACTCAACACTATATGGAAAATAAATTATGAAACTTGTGGGCAGGGATGGGAGGGAAAGAAATTAGGGAGAAGCAAAGGAAAGAATGACATTGTCCAAAAGGAAATGTACTCATTACCTGATTTATGAAATAGTAACCCCTAAATGACAACAAAATTATATATATACAAACATACATATATATATATAGAGAGAGAGAGAGAGAGAGATACATACATAGAAAGAGTTTTAAATATAAAACTTTTGAGCTTAGACGTAATGTTCAAGTTTTGGGTTTTCGAGCATTTTGGATTTTCAGGTTAGAAATGCTCAATCATTAAAGCCTATACAAGCATTTCAAACCTAGAAAATCTACAAAATTTAAAACTTCTGGTCCCAAACATTCATTTAAGAATTTTTCAACCTGCAGCCTACTTCTCTGCCTTTCCTCCTGCCTCTAAGACCCTCCTTACCTCCTTCATAGATTCACCTGCTCTCAGACTGCATACTCGCTCGCCTACTGACCTTCACTGTCCAGGCAGTTCCCTGTTCAGCTTAGAGCTATGCATGGATTTCTCCTGAATCTACAAAGCCAGCCCAAATCTCTCTGCAAATACATCCATCTCCTTGCTTCTATTCCAAAACTGGATGCTTCACCTATGAAAACTGGTCCTCTGCCAGGCACAGTGGCTCACGCCTGTAATCCTAGCTATTCATGAGATTGAGATCTGATGTTTATGGTTCAAAGCCAGATGAGGCAAGAAAAAAAAGTCTGTGAGATGTTTAATCTCCAATTAACCATCAAAAAGCCAGAAATGAAGCTGTGGCTTAAGTGGTAAAGCACCAGCCTTGAGCAAAAAAGGCAAAGTAGAGTGGGGAGTAAGGCCCTGAGTTCAAGCCCCAGTAACAGGAGGAAAAAAAAAGCCAATTGTTTTTTCACTACACCAGAAATATTTTCTATTTGGCTAAAGAGCTAATATTTCTCCCTCCCCAACCTCATTTTCTACTGTCTTTTTTCTCACTTAATCCCAATTGTCTTCTAGTTCTCTGCTTTGGGGGGGGGTGGAGGTGGGAGGCTTTTAACCTTCAAAATGTATTACTATTTCTTTATCACACTGTGTATGTGTGTGTTGGTTGGTTGTGGGGCTTGAACTCAGGCCCTGCATGCTATCTCTGAGCTTCTTCACTCAAGGCTAGCACTCAACCACTTTGAGCTACAGCACCACTTCCAGTTTTCTTGTGGTTAACTGGAAAAAAGAATCTCAAGGACTTTCCTGCCTGGGCTGGATTTGAACCACAATCCTCAGATCTTGGCCTCCTGAGTAGCTAAGATTACAGGCGTGAGCAAGTGGCACCTGGCATTGTACTTGCTTTATGAAGTCCATTTCCTTCCAATTACTGCTTCGCTTCTGAAATGCACTAGGTTAAAAAGTACCATGTTTGGGGCATATTTCTCCAGCATTTCTTCCCTTTGCAAAAATGTCTTTCCCTGGTAATAAAAGCTAACATGTGTATGACATAGAAAGCAATTTCTATTTTGCTTCTCTATGCAGCACATGCTAGTTTCATTCCCACATATGGACAAGAGCAGTCAACTCATTTTCCTAGGGCTGCACATCTGGTAGGTAGAGTTGGCTTGGAAGCACACACAACTCTCACTCTAGTCCCTGCTGTTGTCCTCCACTGACATCTGGATGAACTTAAAATTTCCTTAATGATTTCAGCACTCAGAACACCCAGGATGCTTCTCTTCTGCCTCATCTCATCATCATCTGTTTTTTCAAGCCCTGGTACTGAGGCCTGAACTCAGGGGCAGGATGCTGTCCCTTAGCTTTGTTGCTTAAGCCTGGCAAAGCCTCGCTAACGCCTTGCTTGAGTCACAACTCCACTTCTGGTGCCTTTTGGCTAGTTAATGAGTCTGAGAGACTGTTCCACTGAGGCTGATTTTGAACCACAATCCTCAGACCTCAGACTCCTGAATAGCTGCGGTTAGAGGTATGCACCACCAGCATCTAGCTTCCATAATCATCTTTTGAACTCATGATCCTATGGCATTCATTCACATTCATTCATTTCACTTATGCTTAACAGTTCTTTCCATTCCAATGACTTTTACCTTAATGTATGCAACAGCACCCATGAGCAAGATCAGGAGGCTGAAATCTGAGGAACATACCTTTAAGGGATCTGGGAAAGAAAAGGGCAAAGATGGGGCTGGGAAGGTGGCTCAGTGGTAGAGTGCTTGCCTTGCATGCATGAGGCCCTGGGTTCGATTCCTCAGCACCACATAAGCCAAAAAGAAAAAAGCCCGAAGTGGTGCTAGGGCTCAAGTGGTAGATAGCTAGCCTTGAGCTGAAGAGCTGAGGAACAGTGCCCAGGCCGAGTTCAAGACCTACGAAAGAAAGAAGGAAAGAAAGAAAGAAAGAAAGAAGGAAAGAAAAGAAAGAAAGAAAGAAGGAAAGAAAAGAAAGAAAGAAAGAAGGAAAGAAAAGAAAGAAAGAAAGAAGGAAGGAAGAAAGAAGGGAAGGATGGAGGGAGGGAAAGAAAGAAAGAAAGAGAGAAAAGAGCAAAGACTCTTATCTCCAATTAACCAGCAAAAAGCTGGGGTGTGGCTCAAATGGTAGAGTGCAAGCCTTGAGTAAAAAGGACAAGTAAGAATAGGAGGCCTTGAGTTCAAGTCCTAGTACACACACACTAAAAAGCAGACAACAGAAGTGTTTTGCTTTGAAAATATTCTTACTTTGCAAAATTAAATATTACAATTGTATGTCAGTCTTCAACCCCAGCCCTCTCATCCTGCTTTCATCTAATAAAATCTCTTTGGCAATCTCTGTTTTTTATTATGTCTTCTAACCTCTAAAGACTGGACCCTTATGAGATCAAGGGGAGAACACAAAAGCCCAGAAGCAAGGAAGCAGTGGAACAGGGCTTTCCTAGAGCTACGCAAGGAGAACAGGTCCCTTACTGCATCCTGGTTTTGGCAGTCAAGCCTCCAGGAGGGTGAATATTGGTGGTAATTTGTTAAGGCTACCCCTAGAAACTAAAAGTAGGTCATTAAATGAGAATAAGAGAGCTAGGCACTGGTGGCTGATGTCTGTCATCCTGCCAACTGAGGAGACTGAGATGGCAGGATCACAATTGGAAGCCAGCAGGAGCAGGAAAAGTCCCTGAGATTCTTATCTCCAATTAAGCAGTAAAAAGCTGGAAGTGGAGGTGTGGCACAAGTATTGAGCACCAGCCTTGAGTGATAAAGCAAAACTGAGAATATGAGGTCCTAAATTCAAGCTCCAGTGCCAGCAAAAGAGAAACAATGTTGCTGATGTGGGAAATTCATTTACACTGGAAAGCAAGTTCCCAAAAGCAATAGCATGGGTTAAGGCAGGGAGAGTCAGAGAACTAACAAGTCTAAAACAAGACTTTACAAGAAGTACAAACAGCAGGACAAATGATGAACCAATGCAACAATGATACTTACTAGACACTATGTTAGAAATGAACTATGCAACTTGGGAGGGGGGAGTAGGAAGGAGTAAAAGGGAGAAAATGAGGGAGGGGGTAACTGTTTAAAAAGAAATGTACCCATTACCTTACTTATGTAACTGTAACCCCTCTCTTCCTCACCTTTACAAAAAGATATTAAAAAAAAAAAACCTTTTGTGCCTTAGTCACAAACAGAAGATAACAGTTAAGCCATCAAGCAACTGAAGATGAAAAGTGAAGGTCATACTAACAACTAAAGAAGGTTAATCAGTTGGGGGGGAGGGGGGAGAGGGGAGATGGTCATCAAGAAGTCTCTTCTTTAGTCTGTATTATGACTACAAACCAGAGAAACAACTGCAACTACACACATTAAAAAATGAAAATAAAAAAGTAATAAGCACTGACACTTTCCCAGTATTTACTAGCAGGCACAGTGCTAAATGCTTCCTATGTTTTAAAGCATCTACTCCTACAACCTACCTGGAAGGTGAATGTTATTATGTAAGTATTACAAGTGAGGGAGCAAAGGCAGAAAGAGATTAAATAATTGTCCATTGCAATATTAAAGAGAAGAATTGAAATTAATATTGGAGAACTATTAAATAAAATATGCCGCTACAAAGACTGACTGAAAGTGATTTCTATTAAAAATAAATTCCATCATTTCTTCAATTTAAATTAGCAACCCCTGGCCAGATGCTGGTGACTCAGGCCTGTAATCCTAAACTTCCCAGGAGACTGATATCTAAGGATTGTGGTTCAAAGCTAGCCCAGGCAAGAAAGTCCATGATACCCTTAACTCCAATTAACCACTAGAAAACCAGAAGTGGAGCTGTGGCTAAAAGTGGTAGAACCTCACTAGCCTTGATCAAAGAAGCTCAGGGAGAGTGCCCAGGCCCTGTGTTCAAGCCTCATCACACAAACACACACACAAAAGCCAATTCCAGAGAAGGGGAAACATCAGGGGTGGGGAATTGTAATACCTGACTGTTTTTGTTACACACAAAATCTAATTTCCCTCAACACATCTTTTAAACTCCAGTGCCAATGGCTCACACCTGTAATGCTAACTACTCAGAAGGCTAAGATCTGAGCATTCTGGTTTGAATCCAGCCTGAGTAGGTAAATCTGGGATACTTTTGCCTCCCCTTAACTGCAAAAAGCCAGAAGCCGAAGTGTGCTTCGAGTGGTAGACTGCCAGCCTTGAGCAGAGTGAATCAAGAGCATAAAGGTCTTACTCCAAGCCCATGTACAACAAAATAAATAAATACATAAGTAAGCAGATCTTTTTAACTTTGTATAACGTAAGAATTAGTATTATGTGGAAAATGAACTGTGCAACTAGTAGGCAGACAGGAGGCAGAAGCTGGGGGAAAGCAAAGGAAGGGGTAACACTGTCCAAAACGTACTCATTACCTGCCTTATGAAATGGTAACCCTTCTGCACAACAATAAAAATATTTTAAAAGAATTTGTACCATGAAGTCATTGTCATCTTAGTTGTGAGCCAAAGGTGACAAAAAGAAAAAAAAAAAACAAAAAACCTCACAACTTCCATTTGTATTTGTAATTTCGTTCCTATTTCCTCTTATCAGAGCTGGAATACATTAACTCCAAGACAGCCATCCACAAATTTAGGTAAATAACTATAAATCCTTCAGTGAAGAAGCCACACGTATCAAGCTACGTAAATGAACACAGAACAACATCAACAGAGAAACCGTCCTTGTCTCTGTAGCTTTGCTCCTCAAAGTCAGTCTTGCAACATGACAACCTATTTTACGTGGTCTTCCGACTCCAAGGGCATTAAAGTCTAAATGTAAAAGTTACAAGATATGGCCAGGCTCTCCAGTCTGTAATCCTCCTTGCTCAGGGGGTAGGGGGGCTGAGCTCGGAGGACCGCGATGCCAAGCCAGCTGGGGCAGGGAAGTCCGGGAGACTCGTATCTCGGAGCCAGAAGTGGAGCTGGGGCTCAAGCGGTGGAGCGCAGCGAGAAAGCTAAGGAACACAGCGCCTAGGCCCTGGGTTCAAGCCCCAGTACCGGCACGCACGCACGCACGCGCGCACTCACACGCGGCTCCCTCCCCCCGCATCCTCGGACCCGGCGCTCCCCGGCGACCCGGGGCCGGCGATCCCCGCGGCGTCTGCGCGGCCAGGCCCGGCCGGCACCGGGTCTTCCTCGCCAAGCCGAGCGCGGCGCTTCCACACGGCGGTGGCCGTCCGAGGCCACACGCCCATCAGACACCGCACGGCACCGGGCGACGGAGGAAGACCCGAATACCTCCGGGGACGAGGGGGCCGGAGCCCCGGGGCCGCGCCGGGACCGCGCTGCCAGCCCCGCCGGGAGTCGCCCGGCGAAGGCGGGCCGCGCTCTCCTCAGTCCGCCGCCGCTCCGGAACGCGGTGGGACGGGAAGGCCAGCTAGGCCCTGCGCCGCCACTCCCCGCCCCAGAAACTCGGGAAAGACGGGGGCAGCGCCTCGCAGGGGCTCGGGTCCCCCTACCTTATGGTGCGGCCCGAGCAGACCGCCATGTTTCAGAGAAGCCCGGGTCGCCAGGGCTCCCATGTACCTGGAAATCTCGCGAGAATGCAGAGACTGTCACGGAGAGGAGGAGTGGGTCCCGCGATATTTTCCGTACTGATGTAAGAGTTACTGAGCCGGAGGCGGGGCCAAAGCTTTTTTTAAGTGGGCGTGGTCAGTGGAGGTAGGGCGTGGCCTGCGGTGGAAGGGCGTGGCCTGCGGCAGTGAAGTTTCCACTGCCGGTCGGGAATCTCACACTGGTGCTGCGATGTAAAAATTTCCCTCCTGGTGACAATAAGCAGGGGAAAAAAACATGAAATGAAGCTGTTCCCCACACTGGTGAGAGTTTGGGGCACAGAAATGCCACCAGGCCACCTGAGGAGCTGAGCACCTCCATCCCTGCGTGGGCTGGACAGGCGCAAGTGGCTCACACCTGTAATCCTAGCTAGGCTTGAGGCTGAGATCTGAGGAGCATGGTGTTAAGCCAGCCCAGACAGGAAAGGTCATGGGACTTTTATCTCTAATAAAACCACCACAAAAAGGCAGAACGTGAAGCTGTGGCTCAAGTGGTAGAGTGCCAGCCTTAATTTCAAAAATAAAAACTCAAGAACATGAAGCACTGAATTCAAGCCACAGTGCTGGTGTACACACACACACACACACACACACACACACACGGCACTGGACTCTAAGAAGTAAGAGGAACAGAAAGTTTCCTTGTGTATTTTTTGTTGTTGTTGTTACTGGAATCTGAGCTTGGGGCCTCACTCTTGCTAGACTGACATGATATCACCAAGCCACACTTTTAGCCTTGTTTTTCAATGGTTATTTTTAGGATGGAATGTCCCAGGCACTTCCTTGAGCCTAGTTCTACCTACTTTTGGCTTCCAGTTATTTCTGGGATCACAGGCATACACTACAGAGATGAGCTTCCATCCATGCAGATGGAGTCTTACAGACTTTTCTGCCTAAAACCCCACTCCTCCCATTCTCACCTCCCTGCACAGGATGGCAGGTATATACCATAACAGTGCCCGTTTGTGGGTTGAGAAGGGAATCTCAAAAATATAACTGCAGCTAGGTGTCTGTGGCTCACACCTGTAATCCTATGTACTCAGGAGGCTGAGATGATGAGGATCGCAATTCAAAGCCAGCCCAGGCAGGAAAGTCTGTGAAAATCTTATCTCTGTAAAAATCTTATCTCCAATAAACCACCAGAAAACCAGAAGTGGCACTGTAGCTCAAGTGGTGGAATACTAACCTTGAGCTGAAGAACTGAGGGACAGCACCCAGGCCCAGAGTTCAAGCCCCACAACCAACAACAACAACAACAAAAATCTGCCTGGAAGTCAGGCACTGGTGGCTGACAGCTATAATCCTGGATATCCAAGCTAAGGATCATGGTTCAAAGCCAGACCAGGCAGAAAAGTCTATGAGCCTCTTGTCTCCAATGAACCACCCCCAAACCAGAAAGGTAGCTCTGGCTACCGAGTTCAAACCCCACTGTTGACAATAAAAGAAAAAAAAAAACTCCATGGGCAGGCCTCTAACTGTGATGTTCCCAAGTAGTTAGGGTTACAAAAATGAGCTATGGGCAGCTGACTTCATGTTTTCTTAATATAAGGTACTGCTAAGTGTACAAGGTCCTTAGAGAATCAGAAAAGGGGTGAAGGTGGTGGGCAAGACCAGACTGAAGAGAAAGAAGATGGTGTAGAAGACCAATTGTGAATGTTGGAAGGAAGATCCCTGGAGGCTGCATACTGCATGATTCCATCGCACAGCACTCTCAAAAGGAAAAGACTGCAGGAACTGACAGCAGACTGCTCATGGCTCGAGGAGCTGAGGGCGGGGACTGACACGCAGGGGCACACTGGGCCTGGCTGGGGACTGAAGCGTCCCATGTTCTGACCTGCCTCCTGCACGGAGCCGCCATGGTGGAGCTTAGTAAAGGCACATGGCACATTGGGTAACTGCATTAGTGCACAAGGCATTGGCGAATCTGCAGCAATCCCCACATAAGAACTTCTGAATATTGTTATCTTTTAGTGCATGTACAAAGAATCTTGAATTCGACATGTCAGTTTATGAGTGCGATGCATATTGACCAATGTCACTCCTTCCATTATTCCCCCTCCACTCCCAAACCCACCCTTCCTCAACTTACCTATTTCCACTTTCACCTGTGTGCATTGAAGATTATGTTTGCTCACCCTTCTTTGCTCCACTAGCCTGTTCCCCATCAGCCCAGTTACAAAACACACTTTAGATTCCTGGTATTCATTTTGGTAAACTGTTCGTTGTTCAAGGGAGTTACACCATTGGAATCTTCCCCTGTATAATAGCTTAGTCTATTTGTTTTGTAAATATGTCCATGAGCCTCCAAATAAGAACCTTAAATACACAGAGACAGCAGGATCAGGAGGGGAGATGTAGACAGCACCTGCGCAGAAACAAAGAAGGTACCTGGAGACACAAAATCCAGAGAAAGCAAGGCTCTAATGGTTATCTGAGATCTAGCAAAGTACAGTGTCCAGTAGGCAGAGAGCTGGACAAGTTCTATGAAACGGTTCTGTCCACTCTGAAAGTCCCTCCCCTTGATGTGCTGCAGCTTCAGGGGTTGGCTGAGGGGGCCTTGTCTGTGCACTGCTTTGATCTCGGTGGCAGGGAATGCTCTTTGGGGACGTGGTTCCCAGTACCCCTCATCTAACACAGTACGCCTTTCCCTCTGCCAGCTGAGCCCCCTTCTGCTGTCCCATTGCTCACTCTGTGTATCTAGGGAACTTCCAAGTGCAAGGTTTTATGATTATAACGTGAATTCATAAGCTTCGATCACTGTGTGAGCAATCCACTCAGGGTCAGGTGCTCTGTGTTGACAATGGACCCCACGGGCTGTTTTCCTCCTTAGAGCTATCTGCACTGATGTGAAATCAACCCAGGGAAATCTGAGGTACAGCCAAGACTAAGAAGCACTGCTTGACAGGATCTGGTGACTTTGGATACAAAATCCAAGGAAGCAAACATGAACTACTGAGCCACCAATGGGGACACAGGGAAAAGGAGGCGCAGGGAGGTGAGGCTCCCGGCAAAGGAATAGGCGAAGGACGCCACAGCCTCTCCAGAGTGCACAGAAAACCCCGGGAGGAACAAGGGGCTCTACTACAGCCTCTGCACCAGAATTTCATGCTGATGCTCACCTGTGCTGAGGAACTGAGTAGACAGGGTGTTGTGTTTCCTTCTCCAATAACACTGAGCTGGGCACTGGTGACTGACACCTGTAATCCTGCAGCTCATGAGGTTGAGATCTGAGGATATCAACTCAAAGCCAGCCTGGGCAGATAAATCCAAGAGACTCTTCTCTCCAATGGACCAGCAAAAAAGAGCAGTAGGCCTTTTGCTCAAGTGGTAGAGTGCCAGTCTGCAGCAAAAGAACTGAGAGCATGAAGTCCTGAGCACAATTGCCAGTATCAGCACATTGACTAATGAACTAAGTCATTAATTAATTAGTTAACTATTTCATACTGAAGCCTAAGAATGTTAACTAAAATGCCCAATATTGTAGGAACAATTCTCCCCAAACTTTTATAATAGGATCGGTATAAAACAAACCCTCAAAAATAAACATTTAATTATGCAAGATCAAGAATTTGAACATTTTATGCTTCAAATCTGGTGTGCAGAGGAGGCTCATAATGACATCAAAAGTATCTCAAGGGGCTGGAGGTTTAGCTCAGCGGAAGAGCATCTGCCTGGTGAGCACAAGGCCCTGAGTTCGGTCCTCAGCTCTTAGAGGGGAAAAAAGCTATAAAAGACCAAAAAAAAAAAAAAAGAGGCAACTGCAAAAGTATCTCAAGTAAAGTGAATACCCAGTTAAAAGTGAATTGGAAACCATACCTAGCCTTTCATCAGTTAAAAATACATTACAAACAGTGTGCAGGTACTGAATGAAACCAGGCTGGTAGACCAAATTCCCAAACTCTACAAGTCCCAAGTTTGACCCAGCAGCTCAGATAAAAACACTTGGTGGCATGAAACCTAGTGGCATAGGAAAGGAAGGAGAGGGCCAGCTGCCCCATGACGTCATTCTCACCACCAGGCCTCACATTGGGAGGAGACACTGTGGAAGTCCACTTCCATGGGCACCATCATCCCTCCCACCTGGAGGTAGGGGTATTCTCATCTCCTGGAGACCAGGCGGGCCTTGAAACTGCTGTGACCAATAGAAAGGGATAGATCCATGCTTGCCCTTCTGAGTGAAGCCTGTAAAATTTGGCGGCTTCTTCTTTTGTTCTTGGCCAAGGGTCAGGCCCTAAAGAAGTTTGTGAGACTCCTGAATTGGGGGGCAGGGGGACAGAAAGGGAGGGTGTGGTGGAGGTGCTGCTGCTGAGTACCAGACATAGGAGCAAGATCTTCTAGGACCTTCCAGCACAGCCAGAGTGGCCAGCCACAGCCTGAGAGTGACTCCAGATGACACCATGTGAAGCCGCCCGCCACAACCCAAAAGCCGCTGAGTAGTCTCTTTCTTTCCTTCTTTCTTTCTTCCTTTCTTCCTTCCTTCCTTTCTTTCTTTCTCTTTCTTCCTCTTTTTCTTTCTTTCCCTTCCTTCCTTCTTTTCTTCCTTTCTCTTTTCTTTTTATTTCTTTTCTTTCTTTCTTCCTCCCTCCCTCTTTCTTTCCTTCCTTCCTTCTTTCCATCCATCCTTCCTCTCCCCCTACCCTCCTTGTCTTTCCATTGGTCCCAAGGACAAGGGCACTATCCCTGAACCTTTTTCTCTCAAGGCTAGTGCTCTACCACTTGAGCCACAGCTTCATTAGTGCATAATTGAATCTCATATACTTTTGTCTTTCTTGCTTCAAATCACAATCCTCAGACCTCAGCCTCCTGAGAAGCTAGGATTACAGGTTTGAGCCAACGGCAGCCAGCAACAGGTCTTCAAGTTTGGCAGTGGCTTGTTGAAGTACTTTCTGGGGACAAGACATGGTAGATGGTGGGGTTGGGGTGGGGGAAGAGATGGAACTAAGAAGGCTTCCTGCTCCCAATGAGATTAGGCCCCAACTCCCAAAAGTCACACACACACACACACACAC